TATTAGAAAATTGAACATTTTTGCGATTTGTTAATTAATAGGAATGATCTGCAAGGGTATATAAGCTTCGGCTGGCCGAAGCTAGCTTCCTTTCTTGTTTTCTTCTAAAATTGGTTTATATTTAAGCACACAAAATGGGTTGAGGCCAAAGCACTTTGTTCAATATCCCTGGTCGGTTACACAATCTCACTTACATAGATTTTCCAAACTCTTTGCTTTAACCATTGTCACATTTCATTACGCGCCAGTTGCGATAAGCCCGCAAAAAGTTGTATCCCCTGCCGAGCGGCTTCTATGCCAGAAAGAATAAATAAAAATTCAGGCAAGATAATAAAAAACGGCAGGGACAGCGAAAAATGTGGCAGCAAAAAGTACAATATATCGCAAAGGAGGAACACAGGGGGCGGATGCGAAATTGGAACTGGGCCCATTGCACCAACACAATTGCGAACACACGCACACACAGTGAATCGACCACGCCCACCACCCACCAGCACACACACACAAACTCCCGCCTCGGGCGATGCGTTTCGGTTTTAGCCCAAGGCCAGATTTCAATTAAAATTTATTGTTTGTGCCAAAGCGAAAGCGAAATAAATTGAAATATAATAATAAATTGAAATGCGAGATTTATTTTTAAATGGCGCCCAACGCAATAGTTTTTCTTCGCCCCACACTCATCAGAAACACTCGGTTTTCAACAGTTACTAAATACTCGCCACTCAATAGACCCTTTGCCATGTGTATACATATATTCGTGGGAGAAATCGCTTTACAGCCCAACACTTCATCCGGGAACTCTTCTCAATAAACTGAAAAGGGGAAAAGGGGCGATCCACCACGGCCACTGAACATTAATAAAAGCACAAAAAACAACACAAAAAAGAGGAAAAACGAAAACAACTTGTTCCACACATGAGCTGCCCTGAAAGCAGCCTGGAAATATAAATAGCCAAAGTGAAACTTTCAAAGGGATTCCCCTCCCTCACAATCGCTGGCTTTTCACCTGCCCAACTGCATTTTTTACCCGCCCCCTCGCCGCCTGTCATTTTGATTTCAATGAGTTTCCATCCGAAAATGGCATCGCTTCGGTTTCACTTTACACGTTTGTGTTAAAAGCCCTAATTACACTCTCAGCAGCTATCCACCTACCTACAACCACCCGCCGCCCACACATCTTGGCCCACATGTGTCTAGTTGGCAAATTTGACACTTTTCTCATAATTTTGTATGGCTGGCAAACAACTATGATGCAGAGAAAAAAAAACGGGATATAGATATGGTTTCTTAAAGAAATTTTAGAGAATCTCTACTTCCATTTAATCTACCAAAAATAATACTATTTTTTGGAAAATTAACTTTATTTTTATAATATTTACTCCAATTTTTCAATACCTTTTTTTACAGTAGTGAAAAATGTATTTAATTAGATAACTTTTTTTTACTAACACCTAAATGCTTAAGATGGTAATAAGAAAATATCAAAAGGCAAAATATCTTTTTTATCAAAGTTTTTAAATATGAAATTTTATTTACCATTTTTTTAGTTTTTTTCATTCCGGTGTACTTGAGCCGAGAGTGTCCTGTGCTCCTGTGGTTTTTGTTGCTATTGTGGTGGGGACACAGCAGCTGCAGCCATGGGAGTGTGTTGCCTGTTTGTGTTGGCCAGAGTTTTGCAATTAGCCCCAGAGCCTGACAATTGATGGCAGGCGGAGGATGAGCACTCCGGTGCTCCCTGGAAAGCCATACAAGCATAGATTGCCTGTCCCCAATTAGTTGTCGACAAGCCATTTCTCCCCGCACATACATATTGTTTGATTTGACTTTTATGGTTTATAATTGGTTTTTAATGTGGTCGGCAATTAGCAGCCAGCAGTGGGAACTAGAGGATCTTAAAGATTTAATCCGCCCCATATTGCAATTTTATATCCTTCAGTGGCCGCCATAAAGTTGTCTCCATAAAATCGCTTGATTTATGCTCAGCCATTGAGAAGTGACACGAAGAACATATTAAATGCAATAAATTCACTTAGCGGCAGCATGGGCAAAAAAAAAAAAGGAAACACATATATACACTCAGAAAAACTCACTGACACGTAAACGACGCCTGATATAAATGCAATTTCTCTTCATGACAATATTTTCCCGGCGAGCATGCTTCAAATAAAGAAGTCAAGAGCTGCGGAATGAGGCGGGAAAATGGGTGTTTGGCTGGGAAAATGGTAGGAGAAACGGGCAAGGGGTTGTGGAAAGTAAGGTAGGTGGGTTGTGCACAGCCCTTAATGGAATTGTTGCCTCCTCTTCGCAATTATCGGTGCATGAAAAGGAAAGTGCAGCGGCGCGATAATAAAGAACAACAGTAACATCAGCAGGAAAGTCATATGCCAGCACTTTCCCACAGAATCGTTGAGTTGCAGTGGGCGGAACGAAGGGCGTACAAAGTCCCATATCGATTTAATTAATTTTTCTTTCCCTTAAAGTCTGAAGGATTGAATGGCTGACTGACTGATTGCAGTATGTACGAACATGCAGGCTGTTGTAGGGTATTATGTTTCATGGGGTCACCTACTTTCAGGTGTCAAAGTGCCTGAAGTGGTTTACAAAACAGAGTGGCCAGAAAGTCGGAAAATATATTAAACCAAACACTCACTGAAAATGCGGATAACATATTTATGCATTTTCTCTCTAAAATTTATATTATAATCACCGCACTTGTTGTCCGCTAACGATTTTAATTAAATATTTAATAGTCTAATATGTAATTTCATCATCATTCTTTCATTTTACTCGCCTTTTCTCTTTTATAAATGGCGTGTTTATAGCTATTTTAGATCTTTGTTAGATTAAAGTGCAGACCCCACTCGAAGCTACTGCCCTTTATACACACATGTGTTTAAGTTAGAGCAAACAAGAATAGAGACCAGTCACGGTATTAATAATCAATTCCAACCTCAATCAATCAGCAAGCGCTCATTGACAGCTCCAGGAATTTCTCCTCGAACCCACGATAATCCCCCTTATCCGTATCCCTCCTTTTGGTTGTTCCTTTCCAAACCTCATTAGCCACCGCATTTTTATTGTGAGTCAGCAGCGAGTCGTTCGCACGTGTCTCGCGCAGTTGTCGCCTGGTTTTCCATCCATGGCATGCCTAACAACCATAGAGGGGCGAATTCCGGAACAGGGGCGTCGAGGGGTTAAGCAAGGCTAAGGAGTGTCTTTATTATTGGCCTACTTTACCTGGCCACCCGCCGCGAAAATGTCCATAATTGACAGTCGGACAGAAATGCGCTGGAAATTACGAAGGGAAGTAAGCGAATGCTCAATCACAGTGAATTTATTTGATTGCTCAATAGGTAAATTGAATGGTATTTATATACATTTTCCATGGCATATTGCCGCATTTCTTCTTATTTCTTAACGGAATATTTTCTAAAATACTCAAGCATTATTGGAATACTATAAGGAATATTTAGTTGGCCAATTAATTTGGAAAATATTTACGGCCCATTTAGGCCACCAATCTTAACTAGAAATTCCCATTTGAAGGCTATGATAGAGTCGTAAAAAAGATTAATTTTTACAGCCAATTACTCAAACCTTAAACATCAGTCTAACATGGACTTTCAGCGGGTCTCCTTCCCAACCTGCGCCCCAGGGATTGTGCAACTCTTTATCGATTCGACCGAAACCATTTAGATGTGTCCGCTCATCAAGGCCTGGCGGCCATTAAATATAAATTCGACAGGCACTCGGCCATCTGCAGTTGACCCAAAAAGCCACTCGACTGGGGACCTGTGCCAGGAGGCCCAAAAACTAAAACTCACAAATCATTGAGCGGTTCGAAGTGCAGGCGGTGGTTATCGGCGATGAGTGATGGGGAAATTGCATCTGCATTCGGTGCAGGACGAAAGTCTGGCTCATTAATAATGCAGACGGCATATGGGGCTTCATTTACCCGAGCGGAGCGCCATTCGTCCTTCCGGCTGGCCACACCAACTTCCACTTCCACATCCACTTCCCGAACTTCCCCAACTTCCGCCGCTCGTTAGGCGATGGCTCGTGAAGTGAGCTCCGACGTTCATTGCACATTATGGCCCATGTCCTGTATGGCTTCTGTTGCTCCTTTCGAGTCCTGTTTTTTCCCTTCTTTTTATTCCAGTCCTTGCATAATTACAGGCGGCGGCTGCAACCCAAGTTAATAAACAATTTGCACTCCATGGAGGGAAGGCGCCTACTTGGCAGCGTATTATTCATTAATTACTTTTTAATTGCACTGGCAATAGCTCAACTTCGAGCCCAATTTTGTTTCGCTTTTTTCGCTCTGTCCTCGGAGCGTATACTTGATATTTCGCTTGGTATACATATATTTCGGGTGTTTCTTTCTAAGGTTTCCCCTTGCGTCATAGGCGTATCCACTTTGCATGTCCCTTTGGCTCGGCAGGGTGTTTTTTTCGGAGGGTTTGGGCCAACTAAATTAAATTACTTGCCTTTTAGAGCGATTGTCATGATGAGTCACGGCTAAATGTGTGCAAATTGAGCCTCCTCTGGTGCCGCCTTTTTTGCTACTTTTTTTTCGGCTATGACGAGGGTTCTGCTGATTGTCGCGTTGCTACCTGAATTTTCAATGATGTTTCACGAGTGGAGAAAATGCAGCTTTAAAAGTTTAAAAAGTGAAAGAGAAAAGTTTATCTTAGCTTCCCTCTCAAATGGCCAATTAAAAGTTAGCTTTAATAATTTTCCCAGCTTGTTATAGCCTGATTATCTTTTCTATAAAAACTAAAGCTAAGAAGTGGAATTCTTTATAAAATCTTTTCTTTGACACTTCTCTAAAAACTTCGGCGTAAATTCAGTTTTAGTTAGCCACTATAACGCCGTCTGCAAAGTCATAGTTGAAAGTCCTTTGGAGCATCTTTTCCAATTTCCTTTTTATCAAAAGATACCCACTTTCAACTATTTATACTTAAGGATATTTATTTAAACGGCTTACAAGCGCCCTGATTACGTGCTAGAAATACTTAAGAGGAAGATCACAAGAACTGTTGCCCACGAGTGCAACATGGGGCTGAATAGCTATAGCTGCCCACATAAATCTCAACCGATGTCGGAGGACGCCCTTGGGAGTGGGGGATGGTAAATCACCCCACGCCGCAACTCGGTAAATTCCATCACGTCAGTGAGAACCTGTCAATGTTGTTGCTCAGCGCGTTGTTGTCCTCGTCCTCGTTGTCCTCGCCGGCTTCTGCTCCCTGCTCCCTTTGGCCCAAAACCCAGCGACTGACAGATGTCTGTCTGGTGGCATTAGGTGGCAATTTGTAGGCAATGGGCAGCCGAGGAGCCAGCGAGACAATTGCCTTCGGCCGGCTGCTCCTTCCAAATGGCTTGGCATCGTTCGTATCCAGAAAGAATTTGCCACGAATCCTGTAAGCAGGGTTATCAGATGGATTTGCAGAGATTCAGCGATTGAGCCAACTCACCTGGGATCCGCCCCCATGCCCATGAAGGCGGGCCCGTTTCCTGGCTCCCGACAGATGCCGAACATTTCGGAGGGCTCGCAACGCTGGGCGGGAAATCCTCGGGGCTGGGCCACACTCTCCACAAAGTACTCCCAAGCACGCTGGTGACTGCAGCCGACTGCAAGGGAAATTTAAATTGTAGATTTGTGATTGGAAAATATATTTTTTACATAAAAAAGTCTACTATTATAAATCTATGTCTCTGGCATCAGGCGGTGCTTTTTAAAAATATAATTCCAACTAAATTAAAGTAAATGTTAAGTAAATCTATTAAAAAATAAAAATAATAATAATAAATATAAACAATATCTTTTCGGATTAAACGGAGGCTCAATTTTAATTTAATTTTTGTTATAAAACGCAATCATTTTGGAAACGTACTTAAATCCTATGTCGTATTTTTTTACAAAAATGTTGTAGTTATATCAATCAAAGAAAGTTTAACACCAATCAACACCAAAAGTCCATGATTAAATTACGAAGTTATATATTTGAATATGAGTGGGTATTTTCTTTCAATATCAATCTCAGCAAGTGCTCACCAATTATTCCCAGCCAGTTATTGGCGATATTCTGCTTGGCGCAGCCCGGCTGCAGGGGTCGTCCCCCATTCGGATAGAAGTCCGCATGACCCATGGCCGCCGGGTTGCCCAGCAGTCCTCCGTCCGTGTGGATGACGTCCACGAATCTGGCATCGCTGGGACTCAGGCGGCGGTTGGAGCTGTTGCCCTCGAAAAGGGGCAGGGCCGGATCGAGGGCCGTTATCCTGGGCAGCTTGATGCCCCACTCCTGCAGCTGTTTGCCAGCGAATCCGGCCACCTCGGCGCCCAGGCTAAAGCCAATCAAGTGGATGTACTTCGCTGGATAGCCCTTGTCCACCAGGAAACGCAGGAACCTGGCCAAATAGCGGGCCGTCACCGGCAGATTCTCGACGGCATTCGAGTACCAGGGCACCGCTGTCATCGCGCTCCAGTCGATGAGGATGACATTGTAGTTGCCCCGCCTCAGAAATGCTGCCAGCGGAAATGAGCGGTCAGGGTGGCTTTTTGACAAAAAAAAAGGAAGTCCTTCATCCCAACTCACCATCCTTTAGCTCCTGGCTGCTCTGCCTTTCGCCGGTGGCCGATTCCGAGAAGCCGTGCAGATAGATGGCCAGCGGGTAATTGAAATTGAAATTGCTCTGCGCCAGCCGGGCATCGTCGCTCAGGTGGAGCAGTTGGGCGGAATTGCGGTTCCGGCTGCAAAAAGGTGGGCCCAATTTTTGATGGCCCCTCAATATGCATGAGCTGGGATCGAAAGGTGGGTCGCCGTTGGCTTACCTGGTGTACAGCATGAACTTTATGTCCTCACGCTCCTTAATCGCACAGCAAGTGGAGCAGGATCCGCGCGGAGCGGCACTGTAGAAAATGGGCGAGCCAGCTGGGCAATAAAAATATGTATTTCGAAACAGGAATTTAATTTATGCAAGAATCAGGAAAGTAAGTGATTGTTTCTTAAATTAAAAGTAATTTTATTGAGGAAAAAAGAAATGAAACCTGAAGCATTAATATTTTCTAACCGAAATTTGATTAATATCTAAGTAAAACATATAAATCACCAATTAATTAAATGTTTGCCAACAAAACGTTGGACATTAAATAACTTCTTACCACATCCGCACAAACTTTGGTCGGAAATCGAAATTTGTCAAGTGGCAAACACGAGCGAATTTATTTAGAGCTTGGAATACAAAACTAATTGATTCATTAGCTTCATTAACTGGCTGGCAACGCGTCGAAATGCCAGGTAGCCATAACCATAACATAACAATAACTATAACCAGCCGTAATAACAGCGACCAAAATCCAAACAAAAACAGTGGCAAAGAAAACGAAACTGAAACTGGCCCAACGAAGAACGACTTGGCCGTGAACTTGAGGGGAGTTAAATGAAATCAAGTGGAATGGTATGTGGCTGTGGTATATGGTATATGGTATATGGGCAACGAATGTACAAGTGGCAGTAGCAGTAGCGGTAGCCCCAAAGACAGCACGTGACGCATACGCCGCGTGTTACGTAGCGGAGGCAAATAAAAACAAGTTTTCATTTCCATCAGGTTTCCGAAGTTCACACGGCCAAGATTTTAATCGGAGTGATGGGTGGGTGGGTGAGTGGGTTGGTTGGAGAGGCAGCACCACTGTCAGTGGGTCAACCACATTCGGATGTCAATGTGGATGGCTTTTTTCGCTCTTTTTGTTTTGCTACACATTTTTATCGGCCGCTGCGAATGCATACGGATAATACACTTGATTAGATGCCAAGTAACAATGACGTTGACCTTAGCCAATGCCGGACTCATTTGCAATTCTGTCCACTTATCACCTTCCGTTTTGTTGGCGGAAAAAATACTATATCAACTTTTAAATGGTCTACTGAGAGTATATTCATTTTTATTGGATCACAGAAATGTCACCTTCTTTAATCTCAAAATAAATCTTTACTTTTAAATAAACAAATTTTAGATCATTAACAATAAAGATCCGATAGACTGAACCGATATCACCACTTCAATAGATTTTATTTAAATTTATTTATTTAAGGACGGTTAAGAATATTTAACAGAAAAAGGGAAAATATTTATTCAGTTCAGCTTTAGTATTAAAACTTCTAACAACAATTGAACTAAAACCATTTAAAATTGCTATCTAAACAATTCACTAATTAAGAGATAAACTGCAAGTTAGAGTATTTCAACTTCGTTTTCCGCAATCTTTTTATGGCTTTAACCATACTCCAAATATTATGTATGTAGCTTAAATATCTTTTATTTATGTAAATATGCTGGCTGCGTTAATTTTTTGCTGCAGAGCGGAAGAGTTTGTCGCGCTTTTCGTGAGGAATGTTCCGTGGTTGTTGCTGGAATTGCCATTTAATATTTTTTCTCGTATTCTTTGTTTTGCTTGGCTCGGCTTTGTTTCCACGTTGTTTTGCGACGTCATGCCGTGCATTTAATTTGTATTTCTTTTTTTTAATTATCGCTCTGCCAGCTTTAATTTAAATGTACGTGCGGCTAGCAGTTAATTAGCGGCTTCAAGCCATGGCGATTGTTATGGTTGCACTAAGAACTTTACGGGTACCGGCTTTATGCTTCTAGCCGAGTGATTCCCCGACTGACATTGAAATCGGTGTGAATTACGCCATTAAGAATGTCGTAAAGTGCGGCGCGTAATGATCTATATGAGTGGTGTAAGGAGATTGGAAGATAAAGAGGGGACTTCACAGTGATATGCGATACGTTGATGATTTGTTTGGCCAGCAAATATCTCTTTTGTTCCCACCCCCAATTTTTCTGGGCAGCCTTCCTTCACGGCTCACTGGCCATCTCAGCTGACTTACCCCAAGACAAATATCGCCGATGGTCAACAATTGAATCTTTTGAGTGCGCGTATCAACAAAGACGTCAGCCTGTTTGGTTTACAAGCCATTCCGCCTTGAACTTATGTGCATAGTGACGCCCCAACCGCCCACTTGGGACACGATTTTCCAGCTGACATTGAGTCAGAATCAATGCTAATGGATGCCACTTTCCGTTTTGGCCTCAGTTTTCAATCGCGATGTCTCAACTCACCCAGCAGAAATGTAAATACGTTGCATAATGTCGAGGTGGCCGGCAACACCATGGCAAATATAATAAATTAGTTTAAATATTGGCTCAAGTTCTGCGGTGATTTGCGTTCAATGAACCGCCGTTTTGGGCGTGCTATTCCAATTCACTTTCGTACGCGAAAATCAACATTCAAATCGGTTTCCGCATTTGTTTTATGTTGTTACTATTGCTGTTTGGCCAAAACAAATCACGATTGCGATCGATAAAGAAAACGCTCTGTTCTCGACGAGCTGCGAATACTGACTGAACGATCGGAACTCCCGATCCGTCGAGCTAGACTCTCTGCCTCAGTCGACGTCGCTGCCGGCGACGCTGGCAATCTGATAAAACAGAATTTGCGAGGCCCTAAAACGAAAGACTCAGGCAACAAACTAAAGCGCGTCGTCTGTAAGCTATATTGCGTTCCGTATTTAAATGAATCAATCAGGCATGCAGAAGAGAGAACGGCTGGGGTCGTAAAATAGTTATCAGTTTCCTGATTGTCGCGCGTCCAACACTACACACCGACCCACCACCACCCACTCCATGCCGGGCATTCGAAATGAGCACCAGCCCACCCAAGTGATCTGTGGCGGGGAAAAGGCAATCGAAAAGTTCAGCCGGATCCATCTGACAGGCGGCTCACCTTGACCAGATGCGACTTTCCGTTTCGATTCACTTATCGCCCCTCGATCGGATCGAACATCCACATCCGACAGCCATAAAGGGGCCGGCACATCTTGAGCAAAAACAAATCGTTATAAATCGTTAGTATAAGCAATCAAGAATATGCCGTTAAATGTTTACCAAGTAAACTTCTGTAAGCATTATTTTGCATTATTTGTTGTTCTAAAAACAATCCCAATTTAAGATAAACGACTGATTTATGCTTTAGAAGTGAGAGGAGACCCTTGGGTTCGTTTTATTTCTGACCAATCCTTTGTGAGTCGGAACTCTTAAGTCTGGTCAGGTCAATTAGCATGGCGCTGATATGTCCATTAATCACACAAAATATAAGCAAAGGAGAAAAGAAGAAAAATAAAAAACTAAGGGCATTTTAACTTCGGTCCAAAGATATCTGAAATACTTTTGTAGCGGGCGTACGATTTCGCGGCTTTTCGCGCTCTCGTCCCAGCTATCGATAAATGCATCACAGTCAGTGGCAGCTAAAGGGGTTTTATAATATTTAATTAAATAGAATTTATTTTTAAAATTTATAACCGATTTATGTTTCTCGAGGTAAGCTAAGATATTGATTTTAAATGAAACTACCAAAGTTTAAAATGAAAATACCCCTCCGATTTTATTTCAGCCATTACCATAGTCGCCAAATCAATCTCCACTCAACCAGAGAACCCTCAGCTGTTTACAAAGACAGTAAGAGATAATTGCATAAAGATTCTTTGGACATTTGTGGTTGCCAATCGAACACTTGATTGATTTGCCGCTGCTTGCATAAGCCACAAAACACCAATTAAATGTATACCTTGCATATGGGCACTTCCAAAATGTCGCTCGGGACATTTGCACACCTTTAAAGTTGAAAAAAAATTGTAAAACAATGGATTTTAATTTTAATTATGGGCTTTTCTTTTCACTCTTCCCAAGCTCTATTTTTGGTAAAAATCTTGATTTTGTACCACTTTTAGTTTTTAAGATATCGGTAAAAAACTGCCGTATTCGCTCGGGACAAAAATAGAAGTGGATTTCGGGGAAGTTTATACAACACCAGAAATTAGCGAATTCTGATGGAATATTTGAATGCGATTTTTTTTAGAATGTTGTTTAAACATGTCGCTGTGAAATGCTTTTGGTTTCACTCAAAAATTCTTTGCCGTTTTTTTTTTATGCAGTTTCAACCACATTCGCTCGGGACATGTCGCTCGGGACATTTTTTCCGACTGTTTTGTAAAGCGGATTTCTTTACCTCTATCTCTCAATTGCTGGATGTTTTGCTTTTAACTTAATAGTTTAGCATGTGAATGAATCATTCAGTACAGAAAAATGTCACATATTAGCATTCCTATAGGATAAATTTACAACAGAACACAGGTCCAAAAAATAACAAAAAAATAGCCAAAAACTGATTTTTGCGTATATTGGTGGGGTTTGTCATAAAAATAATCAAACTATACTCCAAATTTGTAGTTAAGCTCAGTATCCAACTAATTAGAAACTAATATCGGGGCAAAATCATGTGGAAATATGTTTTATTCAAGTTTTAAGGTTTTTGGCTTGGTGGACTTTTTTTTGGAAGTGCCCATATACGTAATTAAACCGCAGAAACCTTCGCTGGCGAACAATTTGCACGACTTTCAAAGTGACATTGAGGAACCATCAAGTGCAAGGGCTTGGGCTTCAACTCAAAACCACATAGTCAAGGAAATCCATAGACAATGTAGGTATTCCAAGTTCTAAATCAAGAACAAATTCAACAGGGGTAGTAACACTTAAAGTTCTGCGAAAAAAGAAAATGGAAATATATAATGCGATAAAGAAATCTTTACAACTTCCTCAAGCCTTGCCAAGTTAATGGCTCGCAAATAATAAATACAATTGGTTTTGCAACAAAGGGAGCAGTACCCAAAAATAGCCATATTAACTATTAATAGCTTAATACGATCGTTAACCAGTTCATTCAATCAGCGCTTAAAAAGCTGCTGAATCACAAAATTAATTAATGGTCAACAATGGGGCAGTTCTTATAAATGGAAAGATTCGAAATCAATAGCAAGTATCATATGTTCAACGATCTGCCAGTCTGAGGTCGAACACCCAAACTGACCTCAGAAGGCGTCTATGCAGATATTAAGATTAATATTTTGAGATACAAACATGCCCAGATACAAAGCAAAAAATAGTTCAGCTCATCATAAATTTGCATAATCACTCGTTGATTCGAAAGGAAATCAGACCGTTAGGCAATGCGTAGATTGCAATCGATGGCTAATTTAGCATTTTACAAATTTCATCTTTATAGCTCAAAGTGTCGGCTGCGAAAGATACTTTGTCTGATCTTTATGGACATGTCAAACCGCTTCTGGCAAAGGCCTTGAACGGTTGCTTCCATAATTTACAGCTAAGTAGCTGTAAATTTAGTTGTTGTCATCACAATAGGCCAAGTTTATAATTTTTCGAAACAGGCTTGGGCAAGGGACTTTCATTAGGGCAGGTGAATACGGACAAAGTTGCTTAAATTAAATTCAGAGCTCATTATTTAAATTAACCGTTTCTAATAATAATCATATGTGATTTTCTTAAAATTAATTAAGAACTCATCAATTACCTAAAAGTGGTTTCGAACTAATTTCAATACTCCATGGGACAACACCGCGGTGTATAATTATATTTTGGATACATTTGAAAAAAATTTGATTGCCTGTCAATTATAGGAAGAAAAACTTTAAGAATCTGTTATTTTAAAATAGTAGAATAGAGTGAGAAGCACTGTTAAAACAAAGTTTTAAGAATTAACGCACACCCGATTTTTGAAAATTTTGTGACTGCTATCGACCGGTTTAAAAAAATGCTAAGCTTGACCGTATCTTTAGCACTTAAACTTTGTAACCAAATTTCTTGTGTTTGTATTTTGTTTTTTATCACGTACTAAAATGTAATTTCCTAAGCCATATTTGTTTAATGACAAATACTTTAAGTAGGACTTCTGCGAGAGTATCTTAATCACCATCAGCTCTTAGACAATTAAAACAAAAGAAGTGAATGTTCTTTTATAACTGGCAGCACAATTAAGTTTTAATAATCCGTTATCATCACTTGCCAGTTTAAATCAGCAGCTGCTAAAAATATTTTTATGCATCAAAATTTACTTAATGCAGTTGGATGTTTTCACTACTTATTCTTTACTACCAAAAAAAGTAATTTCCTTGCTATAAGCTTCTAGGAAAAATGCGAAAATGTGTGATAATGAGCTTATCATCTTAAACACTGTGGGGCTTTAACCATCTTATCTTATTTAATGCTCCTAGCAGCAATTTTTTTGTTTTACACAGCTTTTAACTGAATTACATGTATACTTTATGGCTGAAAATTTGAAAGAAATCTTTAAAAACATTCCTAGACTATTTAAGGGCTGACTAGATTTAATATCTACCAATTTTATTTGCAGGACAAACTGCTGAGCAAACTGGAGGAGGAGAGCGAGCCGGATCCGCCCACCTCGCAGGAGGATGAGTGCGTGATCTGCATCAATGCCCGGGCCACCATGCAGACCTCTCCGTGTGGCCACCGCGTCGTCTGCCGCCGATGCTTTGTGAAGACGATCCAGAGTGCGGTGGCCCAGCGGCTGCTGCCCCTGCGCTGCGTCATCTGCCGGGCGCGGGTGAACCGGCTCACCTCGTCCTCGGGCACCTGGCGCATCCAGGAGTCGGCCAGCAGCTACTCGATGGGCGCCAAGAGCTGGTCCTCGGCCGGAGTGGCCGCCGGCGGGGTGGTGCCCTCGGCCAGCTCCTACTCGATGAACGATGCGCACAGCGGACACCACTCGTTCCACCAGCCCACGTTGCACAAGTCGGCGGTGGGGCGACACCATTACGCGCCCCGCGGATCGACGCCCCATGCGCGGGTCTCCCAGTCGGACAGCCTGTACTCGATGAGCTCGACGGGATCGGCGGCCTCGTCGGCCTCCGGCTACTCGCACTACTCCAAGACGTCTTCCATATCGAGCAACGGTCCCTGCTCACCGGCCCTGCCGCCCGTGGCTTCCAGCTCCAATCACCTGGCCCCTCCCTCGCCCACCACCCACCATCACGCCCACGGTCTGGCCTCGCCCACGCCCTCGGGATCCTCCGGCAGCTCCCTGTCACCGCGGGAAAACGGATCGTCGCACTCGCATTCGCATTCGCATGGTGGTGGCTGCCCGATTGGTTGCTCCGGTGCCGTGCCAAGGAAGCCGCTGCACACGCTGCAAAACAGCTGCTCCACTCCCGTTTCCGGCTCATCCTCCAGCGGAAGTGGAAACGGAGTGGGGGCCAGTGGAATGATGACGCCAACGCACACGTATCCGGGTCGAAGGCACGTGAAGAACCGGCTGATGGACATTCAGAACCGCCTGCCGCCCATCAAGGAGTTCCGCAGTCCGGCCAAGGTTCCGCATCCCTCACCCGTGCACGTCAGCAATCCCCGATTTCGGTGAGTGGAACTCAGGTTTATGGAGTATATATAGTAATCCAATCCATTCCTTGCAGCTACTCCACTTACACAAAGTCCAGCGCCCATGAACTGGCTCCATTGCTGCGGGAGAACGGAGGCTCTCCGCCGCCACGTCGCCCCAGTCCGATGAACATCCAGCTGAGCTGCTCCGCACTGGCCCCGCCCCCCTTGAAGGCGGGCGGGGCAAAGATCTGCCCGCTGACCTCGAAGAACTCGCTGCCCAAAAACGCTTACGTGATGCCCAAGGACAAGAAGCCGCCAGCTTCGGTTCCGCAGGGGAAAACCACTGGTACTGCCTCCTCCTCTTCAAGGAGCTCAACTCCGCAAGGAGCCGGATGCTCGAGGGCCTCGGCAGGATGCGCTGCCTCGAACTCGGGATCAACTGGCTCTGGATCGGCTAGCAATCCCAAGCCCAGTTCAAGCTCTTCCAGTCGCAGTTTTCCGCTCTTCTCCGCCGCCAGCAATCAGAGTGAGTTTTGTATTAACTTTTAGATTTGAGATTGATATAAAAATATAATATTAAAAAATAACTTAAGAAAGATAATATAAATTTTATATATTAATAAAATATCAAAGAAATAGTTCACTTTAGCTTATAACCTGCCTAATAATTCGACACCTTTTCTATTCCAGGAGAGAAGGCTGACAATAAGAAGAACGAGTCCGTTGAGCGCAAGAAAAAGGAGGAAAAGCTCAAGCTGAAGGCTGAGAAGGAAGCCAGAAAGGTGGGTGAAAGTGCAGGGAATTCGGTGAGGCCCGGCTTTCTCTTTGTTTGGAAGATGCATTGTTTTCCCCGCGGAACCCCTGAACCAGGCTGTGCATATTTGTATTGTTTGTAATTGGCCTCGTTCCGTTTTTCCTCCTTTTTTGTTGCCAACTGTTTTGGAAAAGTTTTTCATTAATCGCAGGCGAAGGGACTTCGGAAAGTGGGTGGGAAATGCTGAAGCTTTTGTGCCGGCAGAGCATAAATTTCCAAACTTATGAGCACGGGTGGCTCATAAAGCGCAAGCAATTCCGATTTTCTTGCTTATGATTTCAGCTGCATGCAAAGCAAGTTATTCATTTTGCATTTTTCCCTTTGCAGGAGGAGAAGCGACTGGCCAAGGAGGAGGAGCGTCTGGCCAAGCTGCATGCCAAGGAGGAGAAGAAACGGGGCAAGAAGGAGGCCAAGGAGCTGCTGTTGGCCAACGATGGGAACAGCAAGAAGTGAAGTGACGTCAAGACAAGTGAAGTGAAGTAAAGGAACCCAATTAGCCAGCGAAAGCGCATATTTCCAGTTGCAATTCTAGCCCTAAGACCATCACCAAGTACCCGTGCCTCGAGTACCCGTACTATATCAGAACAGATCGGATCGTATCGAATCAGATCCCCAACTCACACACCTCAACACCCCCACATGAAACGAGCTTGATTGTATTCTAGGATAATAATTTGTCAGTTAGCCATTAATCGTTTCTATAAGTTTCGTACAGAACTGGAAAGGAGCAGAGCCAAATATTATAAAATGAATTTCTTAGAAAAACAGGAACATCGCCATAACATTTTTTTTTCATCTTTAGATCTTAAATCGGTTTTTGATACTTTTTTCATTATTTCAACGAGCGTAAAATCACCTGATTAGTTAGACTGCATTCTTGGCATTATAAGCTTTTTAATACAAGTATGCCAATCCTTTGTATGAATGATAAACTTTTGGCAAGCACTGATTTATTCTTGTTTTAAGCTGAAACTTCCACTTAGTTCTCTTTAGGTTTACTGCCCACTTTCATAACTCTTCACCGTCTAGAGATATGATAAGAATATGATGATATCGCTGCCTTTCGTTCTCAGTCTCAGCTCATCTGTATCATTATCAACTAAAAGGTTGTTGAAACAATTTCAATTTGAACAGAATCTGATAGAAATATCCGTAATAGACCTTCTTACATTCAAGTTTCCGAGTAGTAGTAGACTACCAAACAGGCTACCCCTAAATAGAGAGATCCCCGTCTCGAGATATAGAACCATGACCACTCTAAGGCAAGCCAATGTTAGAGCCAAGCTTTAGCAAACGAAGGCCAGAATCCGGATATATTAATAAATATGTACTACCAGTATGTTAACATGTTGACTAACAAATTACAAAAAGCGAGAGCAAATTAACGTAGTTTTCATATACCCCTCTATATATATTATATATATATATGTATCTTTATCTGTAACTCTAAATCTATAGAATCCATACCTATATATTGGAAACTGTTCAAACGGCAAACATAAGCAATGTTTCGATGTATGTATGTGTATATGTGTTACCAGGATTGTTTTAAAAACAGAAAAAGATATCCCCGCCAAAGGGGGAGCAAAGAAACCAATAAAGAATCAATTATGTTGAAGTCGTCTCCTGCTTTTTGATGATCTTCCCCTCTGCCAATCGCTCCTTGTCCTTTAGGCATCGGTTGAAGGGCTTGGCGAAGAAATAGGGCAACTCCTCCCGGCACTGAAGATTTCCCAGTTTATGGAGAGCTCCAAAGTCCAGGCAATCGATGTGATCGTCTCCATTGCAATCCTGACCATGCTTAAACATATAGTTCTGGACCGTGTTGGCTGCACAGTGGGGCTGATTCACGCAGTTGGTGAAGGCTAATTGAAGGATACTTAAGTTTGGATTTATAAAGTGAAGAGCTTTACCCTACCATCGTCGGAAAGGGCCGTATCTGTGGGCAGTGTTAGTTGGCCCGCCTCCACCCAATAGCCCCAAGTAATCCGGAATATACCGCAGGCCCCATTTACACAAATGGCGGATGCATTGCAGCCACTCATTGTTTCGCACAGACAGTCCAGGCAATCTTCCGTGACGGGTTTGTTTTCCACTAAATACACACAAGAAAACAAAATCTGATAATTTGGATTCAAAATTTGCAAGTTTCTACAAGTTTAATATTTTTTGAGTAAGTAATAATTATTTTTGCACACTAAAAAACAAATAAAATAAATAAATTGTCAAAAATTTTTAAACAATCGACATCTTATTAATATTAAATGAAATTTTAAAAATAATTCCCAGAAAATAATTCCTAACTCAGTGTACGAGAAAAGTAGAAATGGGCGGATGCAACGGCCGGCTTTATAATATAAAGCTATTCCGATAAACTGGCTTCGGTTTACAGCGAAACGTAAATGGATTACCATAATTATAGAGCACTCTCTACTACGTACTACACCTCAATTAGCACAGTGGTTAGCGCACTTGAATAGATCGAAATGACATACCCTCATAGCTGAACCCACTGTCCACCAGAAGCCACAAACAAGTCAAACCGACGAGTAATCGAAGCATATCTGAGCTTTGGATCCGATCGAGAATTGAGAACCCGACCTGTTGCCGCCGTGTTGACCACACAACTGATTTCAGTTGGCTGCCAGCCGCTTGTTTATTAATCAAAATTAACGCCTACATTAGCTATGCAATCTTCGCACATAAATTACGCGGGCTCTTCCTCATAAGTTAGTTACTAAACACTAGTTAGAATGCAATCGAAGATTAGCCGGATTTCTGACGCTTCGCAGCCCGGATAGCGCTACTCAAGCAGCGTTTAAAGGTATCCTCGTAGGTAAAGGGCATTTCGGCTTTGCAGTTAAAAGGACCCATATAATGGATGGCTCCATAATCGTAGCAGTCCTCCGTCTCATCATCGTTACAATCCTGCCCGTATTTCACCATATAACTCTGCAAAGTATCAGCTGCACAGTAAGGATCATTCGCACAGTTGGTAAAAGCTAAAGATGGTATAATAGGAGATTAATGTGTGATATTATTTGGAAGATAATCGTAATGCTTACAACTATCTGTTAAAGGTGAGTCGCCTGGTATGGTCAATCTTCCTGAATCCACCCACTGATCCCAGGTGAGCCTGAAGATGCCACATGCCCCATTCACACACACGGCCGTGGCGTTGCAGCCACTCAAGGCCTCACACATACAAACCAGACACTGTTCTGTAATGGGTTTCGCGTTCTCAGCTTTCACCCAGATCCCACCAATTGTTAGGCCCAGTAACAAAAGCAATATATGTGTATTATGCATAGCTTAGCTGAGATATCTGAATTCACTTCCGATTCGATGCGTTCCGCGATTGTTTAGCAACTGAAATGATTTCAGCGGTGACTACTGAGTTTTATTAAACACTGCACCGAGAACAAGCTCTATCAAAAGTGACTAATTGCTGTAATAGGAAGTGCACCGGTCTAGTTTTAAATCTCAGGTGATTCCCGGAAAATATTTATTTACCAAAGAAATTATTACTTTATTAGCATATATTTTAGGTTGAAAAAACTAAAACTTTAACACATAACGTGAAATAAGTTTATTTAAATCCCTCATCTTCGAATTTCTCGATGCAATTTTCGAACGCCGTCTGGAATTTATAAGGCGGGTCCGCTTGACAGCCATAGGCCCCCAGTTTGTGGATTTTGGCATAATCAAGGCAATCCATCTCACCATCATCATTGCAGTCCTGATTGAACTTCTTCATGTAGTTCTGCACCGAATCAGCGGCGCAGTGCGGATCGTTAGCACAGTTGATAAAGGCCTTTTCCGAGTCGGGTTGGTCCCCATTAATAGTCAGCTTTCCCGCATCCACCCAGTAGGCCCAGGTGATGCGGAAAATGCCGCAGGCCCCCTTTTCCGGACTGGTGCAAATCGCGGTGGCATTGCAACCGCTGATGGCCTCACAAATGCAGGTGAGGCACATCTCTGTTACGGGTTTGTCCAGCACATGACCTGTTCATAAATGAATATTTAGGCATATATCTTAAAAATGTTTAACGAAAACCCACCTTGACCTTGCACTAATGACGGCGACAGCACCAGCAGTAAATAAAGAAAATATCCCAGGAAAATTCTCATCTTCCGGCTGATTAAAGAGCTTGCATCTAACACCTCTGCACTTGGAATTGCAAATGGTACTGCGAATCCGATGAACTGAGTACTTGCCCGGTAAATCCGCCAATCTAGCGGGTAATACCGGTTTCTAGGGCGCATCCAAATCCATACAAACCGATAACGATACCTACCCAGCACAGCTCACCCTTAGTTTTTAAAACCGAACCCGTTAAAATCTTTTATAAGGCTGGATCTAATACAATTTAGGACTTTTAGTGAATCTACAAGAAAAATTAATTTTGTACATGTATATATAATTAACTCTTTGCCAATTTTTTAGTAGGAAGAAATTGTTTAAAAAGAATTATTTAAGTATTTTTTTTTAACTGTCAGCAAAAAGTATGCAATATTCAAGTGTTCACACATTTTATAGCATGCGATAAGGCTGCTGAAAATCATATTGAAATTGTGTAGTTTAAATGTAAATAATAAAACATAATTATTTAGTTGTGCAACACAAAGTATATTATATAAAATCGTTTAACTACTTGCTGAATTTTTAAAATTCTAAGAAAAAGTTGTAACTAACAAAACTTATATTCCCCCTTTAACAGTTTGTATGCAATTATTAAAATTTTAATTAACAACCATGTTTATTCCCTTTTCGTAATGTCATTTATTATCAATCTCAATAGCGCAATCTTAATCGAACTCAAATGCATTGCCATAAATTATTAATTATTACAATATTTAATTTTAATTAGAACATAAATTTAGCAAGATAATGGGATTATTTGCTGTTGCGAACGTCGATATGCTGGAACGAATTGAGGCAGTTGGTCAGCTGCGTCTGGTACTGGTAGCTCAGCTCGCCCTTGCAGCCGTAGCCGCCCAACTTGTGGATAGCAGCAAAGTCGTAGCAATCGATAGCGTTATCATTATTGCAGTCCTGACCGAACTTGGTCATGTAATTCTGGATCGTATTGGCGGCGCAATAAGGATCGTTCACGCAGTTGGCATAGGCTGAGGGAAGATTAATTCAAGATTATATATATATGAAAAATAAAAAATGAAAAGAGTGTTGCAGTACTCACCTTCCTCCGACTGGGGACTCTCGTTGCCCAAGGTCAGCTTGCCGCCGTCAGACCAGTAAGCCCATGTGATGCGAAACAGGCCACAGACTCCGCCGCCACAGTAACGGGTCTGGTTGCATCCACTGATGGCCTCGCAGATGCATCCCAGGCACACATCAGTTACCGGCTTATCTGTTTCGGGGTAAGAGATCATTCAAATCAAATCAGTTCAGTTCAGATTGCTGATTAGCCCCGCGAACGTAAGCAATTCAAAGCAAAAACTCGAATTGTGTCACACATATTTGACCAGATCATGTCATCGCTTTATTTAGAGCATTTGGTAATGTTTTGAATTTTGAGAGTTATAACAAGTTAAAGACTTTGGAATTTCAACAGAGCACAAACAACAAATCAGAACTTAGGAAATACCTACACAACAAGTCTATATCTTACTTATCTTATCGTATTTATTACAGGTATTCGAATAAATCCTAAATTATTATTTGTGTTTTCCCGCTTTAGGCTTCTTCATAAACTTTTAAAAATTCATAAATATAATAAAATAAATCCAAGGAACGAAAAGCAATTCCGATGGTTGCACGCCCATGAACCTGAAATCTGTCAGCCTCACGTCCCCATCTCATTTTTTACCGAACTAGTTTTGCAACTTTCAATGGCAACATTGAAGCATCTCCGTAGAACAAATCCGGCAGGCCGTAGGCGAGGATGAGTCAATAAATTGGCGTTATCAAGACCTTGTTCTTGTAATTAAATTTTGTATTTTTAACGAGTATTGGCACTTTGCAAAGCCGAGAAGATTGGCTAACAATCGAGCACAGCATGCCTTCTAGCCTTTTGCCTCACCCACACACGCGTAAGTCTTGGAGGTTTCTAAGTTCACTGACCTATGCAAAGCAATCTTCTTAAAAATTGGGTCAAGATTAAAAATGGATTTTATACCCTTCTTTCTTCTACATTATTTAAATATTTATTTATTTCATATTTACCCTTTATAAATGGGTTTTCTTTGCCCTGAGATAACCGACACGCAGGCAGAGGTTTTTCCAACTTTTTGCTTATAATCAAACGTCACCGAAGCAAATTGTCACGAAGGTGGGATTTTTATCGGGCTGAACAATAGAGTATCAAATTGCACTACAAAATTCCATTCCGGATTCGGGGAAATTTTGAAACAAAACTACATCCTTTTCACGATTCGATTTGTGTTAATTAGCCAGTTAAACAATTAGTTTATTAAACAGAAATGTTATGAGCTCACTGCAAATTACTCTGAATGATTAATAGATAATTTTCAAAGATACTATTATTAATTTCCGCTTAATGTAATAGGCATACGTATAAAAATCGGAAGTAATTTCAATGGCAACGATACGTTATTGAAAGCCAACGCAGTCAACGGCCCGTGTATCAAATGATAGATGCGCGATTATCAAATCTCAAACCGATCCGAAACCCCCGAGATTCAATGGACGTTTGACGTTTGTCAACTTCCAGATACTTCTTGTATGCAAATGCGAACCAAGACGATGGATGGATAAATGTATCTGGGAAATCCGTTCAAGAACGAAACATGTCTTGGGGCAGAACAAAAGAAACAAACGTCTCTACAATTGCTAATTAATGTTAATGAATGCAGACGATCAGGTATTTGTATTTCGTGTTAAAAGCAAATCTCAGCAAATGCGTAACAAATCCGTCTCGAGAACAATAACAAGAACGGAAATGTTCTCGCCAATATAATATACAATATATTTCGATTTATTTAACTCACCCTGAGCTTGAATGAGAGCCGCGAATCCCAGGCACAATAGAGCGCCGATAGCTAAAGTGCAGCACAGTTTGTTGGCAGCCATTATGAGCAGTACTTTTGTCCGAAAAATATGTTTTAAAATGCAATTTCTAGAAACGCTTCACAGTTTTTGCAACCTGTCTATAGAACCGAACTGTGTCGAGCTGCGCGATCAACTGAGCTGGAATTGTTTGAGCTTGCCTCTTTTGTTGACTCAAGCTCTGAAAGCTCAAAAACGAAAGACTTAAACAGAGAACTTGTGAGAGCCAAATCATAAACTTAAGAGATCCATAACTTGCAATTAAAAGTATGCTTTGTTTTACTGGTTTTTAAAGTTACTTATTTGTAAATTGCTTTCGAGATACTTTATGGTCCTAAATAATAGCTGATTATGAGTTCTTGGATCTTATAAAGCTATTTCAGTATCTAGTTATTGAAGATTTGCCGATTGTAAAATGATGTGCCTCTTAAATCTTTTAGTCCAGTTTTTTAACCTATTTAACTGCATTTATGTTTAAATTTTAAATGAACTTTAAAGTTTTCCAATCATACACACAAGTGAAAACGGCTGATTATTTTCTTAGTTCGCTTTGCTCAAGTTTATTCAAAATATAAAAATCTCAGATGTTTAGATCTTGTTGAAGGCAGCAATGTCGACGGACTGGACAAAGTCCTCGAACTCCTCGATCTTCTCCTGCAGCAGGTCGATGGAGACCTTGTCGTCCTCGATGACGCACATGATCTGCAGCTTGTTGATGCCATAGCCCACGGGGACCAGCTTGGAGGCGCCCCACAGCAGACCGTCCATCTCGATGGTGCGGACATTGTTCTCCATCTCCTTCATGTCGGTCTCGTCATCCCAGGGCTTGACATCGAGCAGCACCGATGACTTGGCGATGAGGGCGGGCTTCTTGGACTTCTTGGCGGCGTAGGCGGCAACGCGCTCCTGCTTGATGCGCTCGGCCTCCTCATCCTCCTCATCGTCGGATCCGAATAGATCCACATCGTCGTCATCGTCGGCGGCTGGCTTGGCAGCCACTGTGGGCTTGCCACCGGCCAGCTGGGGCAGAGGAGCACCGGTCCAGGCGGCGCGCTCGGCGGCCTCGAAGGAGGCGATGTGACGGTACCAACGGGCCACATTCACATTGTCGGCAGAGGGGGCCTTGCCCAGAGCCTCGAACACGGACAGATCGGCCTTGCTGGGTGTGTATCTGGCGGGGTCAGAGGGTAAATCCCATTAATATTTGCTCAAATTAAATAAATCTGCTCTGCCGACGTGGTAAGGCCGTGCCTAACCTCACTTTTGCGCCGCGTGCTTACCCGCTGATGTAGCTGTTGTCGGCCAGGAAGTTGTTCAACTCCTTCAGTCCCTGCGGGGTCTTTACATCACCGAAAGCCATTTTAAATGCGTTTTTTGTGGGGTAAATTCGCGTTTAACAAGTCTGTAGCCGTGCTCTGCGCAACGTTGCCGACGAAAGAAGAACTAGGTGAAACGGTCACTTTGAAGTGAAATCTAAAAATACTAACCCGAATAAGGTATTAAAAAATACCAAACCACAAACTTTCAAAAAATATCAAATAAAAAGGCGCGCTTTTTTAAACCCGTTAATAAAATTTTTTAATTTATTTGCAAATTATAACATTTTTTATAACAAAGTTTGGGTTGTTTTGTGCTTGATCTTTAATACAAAAGTTAAAATTCTGTACAAAGCTCCAATAAATAAATAAATAATTTTAAACTATTTGACTTTCGCGGTAGTAAAGTAAAGTAAAAGAAGGATCCACCAGTTGCACTTCAACTTACTCCTCGTTGTCTAAAAGGGAATAATCATTACAACAATCACAAGTAAACGTTATTACTTTTTAACTTACCCGCAGAATTCTCCGTTTTAGAAAGCAATATCACGCAGATGAGGGGATTAGGTTTATTACTAATGTATTTGGATTTTCCGTCTCTGAACTGAAGATGCTGGAGGCAGTAGTTTGGCCTATTCAGGGTCATGCCGTAATTCTGGCGAACAAAGGTTCCATTCTAAAGATTGAGATACCGATTATTTACTATACTCAATAAGTAAATAAACCTCGAATAAAGTGTAATCATCCAATTTTTCCCGGCTGTCTAGGTAGATCATTTGGTCACAGCGCAATGGCAAATCCCACTGCACGATTAGATCGGTTTTAGAGTGCCTTCTGGACACTAACCCATCGCTGAGAGTCACGATTAAATAAGGATCAATCTGGGTTAGGTCTTCAATGTTCAAGTAGCACACTGCATTATCCTTAATGTAGTTCTCTCGAGGGCAACAAACCCTAGCGCAGGACCTCAGTTTGCACGCACATCCTCTTGTGTGGTTTGCCACCATATCTTTCTGGCCATTAGGCAAAATCCTGTAGTTATATTCACCCGTTAAATGGGCGGGAATGAGAAGGCCCTCGTATAAATATGAACCATTCCAGAGCCGTCGAGCTGCCGAGAGATCTACAGTGCCGAAGAAATCGCAATCCCAAATCTGTGCTCTGGTTTTTTGCACCATTAGCAAGAGAACTGTGACAATAGATCCTAGAAACAGCCTCATTGTATCGCAAATAAGCGACAATTTTAACGAATCCTTAATTAGGTTTAAAAACACAAGAGACTTTAGCTTGTGGGACTGACCACGGCTTCCTTAAGACTGATCCGTGTTTCTACATCAGAATTAATTTCAAATGAATCCAACTAATTGTTTTGTTATTCCGTAAATGAAAATATGAGTCAAAATGACATTATGACGTAGAACAAATCTGTTGAGCAAAAGGAAATGCGTTTTAAAAAAGCAAAAAAATCATTTTTTAGATCTCTAATCCATTACCATTACTGTGAGTCATCGGAAAGGCACCTATATTACTCTCTTACGCTCTTTAATTTTCAAAAAACTTTAGAAGTAATCAGCTCTATTTCTTTGAAATTATAACACAAAATGTACATACATATTTCGTAAGACTAAACCATTTTTTCCAAACGTTTTTCGAAACCGACTTTCAGAAGAAAAGCTAAACCAAACCAAGCTAAAAGCAAACCGTCTTTGGTTGAAAGAGATTTCTGTGAAATCCCCGATTTAGTTTCATTTCCTTCCCAATAGATATTTCCTTTACCCTGGCTATATGAAAAGCGAAGACTTAACGACATCATCATCCTAAAATTTAGAATACAAATACTTAATTTCAAAACGTCATAATTCTCTATGCTTAAACATGTGGTATCAAAAAATCTGTAGCAAAATCAATTTTAAACTGTATGACGAAAATATTAGTCGGATTGGAAATGTCTTCTTTAATCTACAGACTTTAAATGCTTAATTTCCTTTTTGTATTAAACATGTAGCCCCCATCGGAATAAACTGCAAAGGTATATAACCCCCAACTTGCTTCCTTTCTTGTTATCTCTTCTTGTGGTCTCTAAAAAATATTTACAAACATTGTCAATATCATTATTTCAATTATAAATTCTCCGTAACCGCATTAAATCTTCAACTTTCATTGTGGTGGCCACAATCAATTCTTCATTTTTGATTTTGTTTGTGGTCGTTGGGTATAAATAGTTTGGTCCCTTTGTTGGATAATCACAGTAGTGAAGTTTCTGTAGAGAGTATATGTACCCCACCACCACATCCAGCAAGAGTATTATTCAAATGAAATGGCCGACAAAAAGGACCTTCTCCTGCTGTTCGATCATCCCACGGAGCCCGTCTTTATGGACAAGGGTGGCAATGGTACCGTGTTCCAAGTTCCCGACTCCTATGTGACCAATCGGTACAACAAGATCTGGAAGATGATTCAGGGGCGCGTCTGTGGTGGGAATGATAAGTGCGTTCCGGTAAAGGAAATCTCCGTTCCCGATCTCAGTTACCCCATGTCGTTGGGCCGAACCGAACAGTTCTCGCTGTTCCTGAAATCCCACCACCAGATGGCGGGGCGCTTGATCGAAGTCTTTATGAAAATGGAGACTGTGGATGACCTGCTGAGCGTGGCGGTGTATGCCCGGGATCGGGTTAACCCGGTGATGTTTAACTATGCTTTATCGGTGACACTGCTCCATCGACCGGACACCCAGGACCTTATTCCGCCCTCCTTATCGCAAGTTTTTCCGGATCGTTTCATCGACTCGCAGTTGTTTCCTAATATGCGAAGGGAATCGTTCGTGGTTGAGGGCTCCGACTCTTGTGGACCCAAATGTATGTCCGTCAAACATACCGCCTGCGATCTGGATGTGGAACACCGTCTGTGGTACTTTCGCGAGGATGTGGGCATCAACCTGCACCACTGGCACTGGCATCTGGTCTATCCTTTCGAAAGCGCCATCCGCAGCATTGTCGATAAGGATCGCCGTGGCGAGTTGTTCTACTATATGCACCAGCAAATTATTGCCCGCTACAATGCCGAGCGATTGAGTAACCATATGGCCCGGGTTCTTCCGATCCACAATTTAGATGAGCCCATTGCGGAGGGCTACTTTCCAAAGATGCACTCCTCGGTGGCTTGTCGGACCTATCCGCCGCGCTTTGAGAACACCCGGCTGCGGGATGTTCACCGACATGACCAGGAAAGAGTTGGGATCGACGACATAAAGCGTTGGCGGGAACGCATCTATGAGGCCATTCACCAGGGCTACGTTTTGGATGTGAGCTAACTGACCCATTTGTCCTGCTTTATCAGGAGATAATCGACATTTTCTTTAAATTATTTAGGATAATAATAAAAGGATTGTCCTAGACGAAGTGAAGGGAATCGACATCCTGGGCAAGCTGATTGAGGCCTCCGATCTTTCGGTCAACAGGACACTGGTAAAGCTTTAATTTAATCCAAAATAGGTGTTCGGGGAAAAAATAGATTGTAACCTGTACTATCATCAAAAAACATTCAGGTGTGTCCCTGAAAACTCTAACAACCAAAAAGCAACCTCAAAGCAATTGTTGGGTTCCTAGATTTTTTTTTGGGTTGCTTTCAAATGTATATACATTTTCATCGACGTTTTTGTTGATCCATAACAAAGTAGGTTTGTTACGGCTCTTAGAGTGTCAAACTTATGTTTAACTGAATAAATTCGTCAATTCGTTTGGACAACATGTAAGTTAAGTTTAAGTATTTTCTTGCAATCTATGTGCATTTTGCCAACTTTTTAGGGGAAAGCATAGAACTCCAGAACAGGAAGAGTTGCTGGTCCAATTCATGGAGAAGCACCTAGATATAGCCAAAGGTTACACCAGAGGTGACAGGGTAATGGTTACCAAGGCATGGTCTGATCTGGGAGCTTCTCTAAATTCGATTGGCCCGCCCCAAAAAACAGTTGACGAATGGCGTCGGGTATGTACTCGAAGGACTTTATAGTTATAGTTTTGTAATTAAAGATTTAGATTTGGAAAGACTGGAAGCAAAGTATCCGCGCCAAGATTTCAAAAAATAAAAGAGAGCTACATGGTACTGGAGGAGGTCCGTTCAAGTTTGAGGCGCTCACTGCTACGGAAGAAGTAGTGGCCACAGTGAGTGGCCTTTATTCGATGGTAGATGGAGTTCCAGGTGCCAGTACTTTTGGGCTTAAGAGGGCACCTTCAACCAATCCCAATTTGAATGGTAGGAAATAAAACGATCGAAGCATATAGTTTAACACCCACTTCAATTTAGATACCGCTTCACCAGAAGTTCTTGAGGTCGAAGACGAGGAAGCTCCTTGCACTTCCAGCAGCCAGACAGCGTCAAGCTCAAAATGCAAGCAAAGCCGCACAGCAAATGTTCAGCATCTTTTGGAGGAACAAAATAAGATATTTGGGCAAATAGCATCGGAGCTTCGGGTCATCAGTGCTCAACATGAGCGCACTGCTGAAGCAGTCGTTGAAATAGGTAAAATAATGAAGGAACTGGTGGAAGAAAAAAAAAATTCAATACATTTGCTGACAATTTGCTAAAAAAATTTGATTAAATGATAAAAGCGATTTAGCAGTTTTGCCTATTATTTATTACAAAGTATTAGATTGCTAGGGTGTTCGCAATTTCATCGCGAATTCTGGATTGAGCAGTGTTAGCAATATCTACTGTAATGTCGCCATCCCCGTTGTGATACATATATGGATTGCCCAAAACTTCTTCGGAAAAGTTTTGATCATTGTGGTCAAGGCAAAGATTGTGGAGAGCGCAACATTAAACAACCTTGAATTGCACGAAATCTGCTTTTAACAACACCAATTGTGCGTTCAACCACATTCCGCGCAGAAGCATGCCTGAGATTAAACACATGTTGCATTGAGTTTGGCCTAGGGTTTCTGTACGGCGTCATTAAAAATGGCTCCAGAGGGTACCCAGAGTCCCCTAGAAGCCAAGCGTTCCGACAGCCTTCATCCCACTTTTGATTTAAGAAGTTTCTGGCCTCAGCAGAATTCCATACAAAAGAATCGTGCGATGCCCCAGGTTTGGACGAGTCGACATATAAAATCCGCATTTCGTAATCGCAAATCTATTAAAATAAGTATGTACAAAAATTAAATCTTGAGGCATTTAACTTACTATCATAACATTTATACTAAAATATCCTTTACGGTTTAGATACTGGTTTTCGTCTTGACTTGGCTTAATTATTTTAACATGAGTCCCATCAATGCATCCAATAGTTCCGGGAATTCCAAACTTCGTAAAAAAATGCAATTTTGAAGAGGCAATTCGATCCGCTGTTTGCTCTAGTTTTATAAATAGAGGACACAGATGACTTTCTAGAATCGGAAGTATTTTCCACAAAGTTTTGCATACGACTTGTCTTGAGATTGAAATATCAAAGTCCTTTCCAATGACTTTTTGAAATGAGCCGACACCTAAGAATCTAAGTGCAGTAGCTAGTTGCAGGATTGGCGGAATAGAATTTTTGGGAATATCTTCTTGAATCAAGTTAAAAACAAGAGAGAACGCTATAGTCGGGTTGGTGTCCCGACTATCTAATACCCGTCACTCAGCTAAAGGGAGTGCGAACGCTGTGTCGGGTTGGTGTCCCGACTAATAATCGTAACTCAGCTAAAGGGAGTGCGAGGGAGATAGATATATGTTGACAATTTATAAAGCGTATAACTTTTTAATGAATGGTCCGATTTGAAAAATGTCTTCTACATTTCGATAGGTATAAATATACACAACAAAATTGCATTTATACTTCTCGGAAATCTTTAAAGATGTGGGCGCAGGGCCCATTTTAAAATCGTTAGTGGGCGATTGTGGGCGTTAAAGGGGGCGTGGCGCTCGGCTAAAATAAACTTGCGCTGCGTAGGAAGCCAAAGAATATGTGTGGGAAATCTCAACCTTCTAGCTTTTGTAGTTTCTGAGATCTCAGCGTTCATACAGACGGACAGACGGACAGACGGACAGACGGACAGACGGACAGACGGACAGACGGACATGGCTAGATCGACTCGGCTAGTGACCCTGATCAAGAATATATATACTTTATGGGGTCGGAAACGCTTCCTTCTAGCTGTTACATACTTTTGCACGAATCTAGTATACCCTTTTACTCTACGAGTAACGGGTATAATAAAGATGAATGCATTTTTGTCAATGCGGTAGTTGTAACGAAAACTGTAAATTGACAAGCATGTATTTATGTACCACAAGTATAAGCAATACTCACGCTTCATCAGAGGTTGAAAGCGGATTAGATCTATCTCTTAGGCGGCTACGGTTTACTTTCTCCTGCATTAAAGCCCTCCTCCTTTCATCATTTAAGGCTATTATTCCCGCTGCAGGCATTGAAGGTTCTTTGCGCAGTTTTTTCTTTTTCTAAATTTATTTATCAACCAGATGTAGGATTTTTTTTTCTTTTCAAGTACCTGACATTTGAGTTGCTAAAAACAACCGCTTAAAATGTCGGTGTCCCCGAAAAAATTGAGGTTTAAGTTTGCTTTTTGACACGCACTTGTATGAAAAACAACATGAAGCCTACTCAGTTTTATCCGATACATTTGAAATTCTTTTGATCAGCATTTTAAATTAAGCCGCTGAACACATAATCCAATGCAGTTTGTTAAATCTTCTTCAACATTAATTCGAAAAAAGGTTAACGAAGCCTTGGACATTTATGAAAATTATGCAGATATTTGCAAACTCACAAACTGAACCAAATGTAGGAAAAAAAAATACACATTTGAAAGCATCAAAATCAGATTTTAGGGAACCCGACAATTGTTTTTGTGTTGCTTTTGATTGAGTAAACAAGGAAAACAAGGGAGTTTTTTTTTTGTTGTTTGTTGTTTTTGAAAGCAACTCTCTGAAAAAACTCTAGTGTTTTCTGGGACACACCTGATTGTTAAAGTTTTCTTAGTATTATTTATATTTTATCTCAATCCCCAGTATGGTAGCATTCACAATAAGGGACACATTCTGATCGCTTACTGCCACGATCCAGCTAACAAGCATCTGGAGCAAGCTGGTGTGATGGCCGAAACGGCCACCGCCATGCGCGATCCGGTCTTCTACAGGTGGCACGCTTTCATCGACAGCTTGTTCCAGGAGCACAAGCGACTTCTGCCCGCTTATAGCGCGGAGGAGCTCAGCTATCCGGACATCCAGGTGCAGAGCATCAGTGTGGAGAGCCAGGATCAGACCAACCAATTGACCACCTTCTGGCAGGAGTCCGATGTAGACATGTCCCGCGGCATGGACTTTTCGCCCCGCGGAAAGGTCTCTGCTCGATTCACCCACCTGCAGCACCACCCATTCACCTACACCATCAAGGTGGAGAACTCTAGTAAGGACAAACGAAAGGGATTCGTTCGCATCTTCCTGGCCCCAAAGTTGGACGATCGTAATGCTACCATGTCGTTCGAGGAACAGCGTCTGATGATGGTGGAGATGGACAAGTTTGTGATCACCATGCCACCAGGAAGCTCTACGTTTACTCGGAACTCCATAGATTCGAATGTTACCATTCCATTTGAGCGCACTTTCCGCAATCAGGATAGCAATGAAAAAGATGATACAAATTCTCCTGAAAATCTGATAAGCGGATGATAAGCGGACTTCTGCGGATGTGGCTGGCCCCATCACATGCTGGTGCCCAGGGGTCGTCCTGAGGGTCTGAGCTTTAAGCTATTCGTCATGGTTTCCAACTATGACGATGAAAGGGTAGGCTTTCATAGGGATATTACGGACCTATTGATCTTCACTCTTAATTCTCCACCAGGTTGACCAAACAACTCAGTGTGCCTGCGGCGATGCCGCTTCATACTGCGGACTCCACGATAGTCTCTATCCGGATCGAAGGTCCATGGGCTTTCCCTTCGATCGCCAGTCCCGCAAGGGTGTCCGATTATTGGAACACTTCCTTACACCCAACATGGGCACCGTGGAGGTTACCATTACCCATGACAATTGGACCAAAAAGCTTCTGGAAAAGACGACATTACCATCTTAGTCCAGATGGAACTACCCGAACCTACTTTGGAAGTCTACTTTCTATTGCAGATGGAATATCTTCCAGCTATTTCTTATTTCATCATAATTTGTTTAACTCTTATTTCACAACTTTTTGGTTTACATTACTTTTACTTTTGGGAAAGAGACAGACAGACAGACGGACAGACGAACATGGCTAGATGGAGTCGGCTATTCCAGTCAAAGAAGTAGACTTCGAAAAAACGTAAATGAACAAAACGAGATGTCAGTGTACTAAGGCACAAAAATAAAACAAAAATTAAATTTTAAACAGTTTAATTAAATCTCTTCGGATTCTATTGATGTTTGTAATAGATCCTACCGAAATCCTTTATGAAAAGCGAAGGTTCAAACCGTGAGCGAAAACTTGGCTAGGTCGCCGACCCTGGTGCGCAGTGTTACCGTTCACCGAATGCCGTGAAAATCCCGGGGGCGAAAAAACGCCACCAACATAGTTATAATGCTATACAAGTTTTTTGCAGACGCATAATTTTCACCGCAAAGCCGAAAGAAAAGTGCAAAAAGGTGTTAAAAGAGCAGAAAAAGGACAGCTAAACAAGTAAGCAACGAAAGCGTTTGGAAAACGATTGAGAAAAAGTCAAACCGAGCGGTGAAAAACGCGTGAACGCAAGCCGCGGCTTTTGTGAAAAACTCGCTCGCCCCTTACGGCTATTGAATTTTCAACTCGTGCAGGGGCTTCGTTTGGCACAAGAAAAGAGCGTAAATCGAATCGAATTCTATCTACATTGTAGATCACACCGAGATGAGCGAGTTCCAACAACAGGCGGGCATTAATCATTCGCAGGCACTCGCGCAAGCAATCCAGCGTGCCAAGCAGGTGAGTTCTTTCGGTCCCGGGAAAAGAAAGAAGAAGAAGAAGAAGAAGAGCGAGAGGCGGAAGTGTATATGTATGTATTCCCATTTCGATTCCCCTTCGTTTTTCCAAGATTGCGGCCAAGATTCAACCTAGCCAGGGCGGCGCTACAGCGGGCCCCTCACCACCGTCCTCAGGCGGCGGAGCACCCAACTTCAAGCGGCACAACGACGACGGCGACAGCGGCCCCGAGTGCAAGCGCTCCTTCGGCAGTCCCGAGTACGGCAACAACAGCTCCAACATGAGCAGCGGCAGCGGTGGAGGAGGAGGCGGTGGAGGGGGCGGTGGAGGGGGAGGCGGTGGTCCCGGCGGCGCCAGCATCACCCAGGCCATTGCCCAGGCGGCTGCTGTGGCCGCCCGCTTGGCCGCCTCGGCGGGCACTAGCTGCGAGGAGCAGCTTCGACTGCCCGACTCCGTGGCCGGCGCCTTTATGGGCCGCTCCAGCAACGACACCATCACCCACATCCAGGCAGAGTCCGGTGTGAAGGTGCAGGTCATGCAGGATCAGGATCGCGTGATCATGCTGCGCGGCCAGCGGGATACGGTGACCAAGGGTCGCGAAATGATCCAGAGCATGGCCAATCGGGCTGGCGGCGGCCAGGTGGAGGTGCTGCTGACCATCAATATGCCGCCACCGGGTCCCAGCGGCTATCCGCCGTACCAGGAGATCATGATACCGGGCGCCAAGGTGGGCCTGGTCATTGGCAAGGGCGGCGATACGATTAAACAGCTGCAGGAGAAGACCGGCGCCAAGATGATCATCATCCAGGATGGTCCCAACCAGGAGCTGATCAAGCCGCTGCGCATTTCCGGCGAGGCGCAGAAGATCGAGCACGCCAAGCAGATGGTGCTCGACCTGATTGCCCAGAAGGATGCTCAGTCGCAGCAGCAGGGCGGTCGAGGAGGCGGCGGCGGCGGCGGTGGAGGAGGTGGCGGCGGCGGTGGTCCGGGCATGGGATTCAATAACTTCAACAACGGCAACGGCGGTGAGAGCGTCGAGGTCTTTGTGCCCAAAATCGCGGTGGGCGTGGTCATCGGCAAGGGCGGCGACATGATCCGAAAGATCCAAACCGAATGCGGCTGCAAGCTGCAGTTCATCCAGGGAAAGAACGACGAGATGGGCGATCGGAGGTGCGTCATCCAGGGCACTCGGCAGCAGGTCGAGGATGCCAAGCGAACAATTGATGGACTGATTGAGAATGTAATGGTAAGTTGGTAATTTTAAAAAAAAAAAAAAATTAAATTTTTTTTTTAACCAAACAAACGTTTATTTTTTGGATAAATGGCTATAATAACTGAGTAAAGCAGTTAAATCAAATCTATCAATAAAATTTAAACCGTTTTGACTTTATACCAAACAAATCTTTCAATACTGTTTAAACCAGTTGTAAACTAAATGCTGAATTAATACAACTGATTCAGAGATATTCTTACTAATTTTAAGTCATTTTTGATTTATTTATTATAAACCCTTGAAGATTTCAACACAAAAAACTAAAAACCTTCCTGATTTTATAGCAACGCAACGGCATGAACCGAAACGGCAACGGAGGAGGCGGCGGTGGAGGCAGCCAAGGCGGTGACTCCGGCAACTCGAACTACGGCTATGGATACGGCGTTAATCACGCTCAAGGAGGACGGGAGGAAATCACATTCCTAGTGCCCGCTTCCAAGTGTGGAGTAGGTTCACAGCTAACCACATCAAGTTATCAAACCCTCTAAATGTAACTCCTCCCCCTGTAGATTGTAATTGGTCGCGGTGGTGAGACCATTAAGCTGATCAACCAGCAGTCTGGAGCCCACACCGAAATGGATCGCAATGCCAGCAATCCGCCCAATGAGAAGCTCTTCAAATCCAAGGGCACCACCGATCAGGTGGAGGCAGCCCGCCAAATGATCTCCGAGAAGATAAACATGGAGCTGAACATCATTTCCCGCAAGCCCATCGGCGGCGGTGGAGGTGGTGGTGGCTCCGGCGGCGGTGGTGGTGGAGGCGGAAATTCTGGCGGTGGCCAAAACAACTCGCACCACAGTCAGCAGCAGGGCGGCTATGGCGGCCAGAATCAAATGCAGGGCGGTGATCCCAATTCGGGAGCGGGCTACCAGCAGCAACAGCAGCCGTGGGGCGGACCCTACGGCCAGCAGGGTTGGGATCCGTCCGGTCAGCAGCAACAACAGCAGCAGCAAATGGCCATGGCCAATCAGGGAGGCGGCGCTGCGGCGGGAGGAGCAGCCGCTGGTCAAGATTACTCGGCACAGTGGATAGAGTACTACAAGTAAGCAATAACAGGATAATATTTTTTGTTATACTAAACAATTCATGTCTTACCTAGACAAATGGGATGCCATCGAGAGGCCGAAATGATTGAGCAGCAAATGAAGGCCAAGCAGGGAGGCGGCTCCTCAGGTCCTGGCCAGCCGCAACAGCAGCAGCAATCCCAGCAGCAGCAGCCACAGCAGCAACAATCCCAACAGCAGCAGGGAGGCGCCGGTGGTGCCGGAGGAGCCGACTATAGTGCACAGTGGGCGGAGTACTATCGCAGCGTGGGCAAGATCGAAGAAGCCGAGGCCATCGAAAAGACTTTAAAAAACAAGGTGGGTAAATTATAAAACCCTCAGTAGAAACTCACTAATAAAATCTGATACTTTAGCCACAGAATGGAGCATCGGGTGGCCAGAATAACGCTAGCAATCCCAGCCAGGGCGGTCCCAATCCCGGCCAGCAGCCCAATCCCGCGGCGGCGGCGGCTGCAGCAGCTGCTGCTGCAGCGGCAGCCGGCGGTTATGGCCAAAGCATGACGCCCAGCCAGTACGCACAGTATTCGCAGTATTATGCGGCGGCGGCTGCAGCTGGCGGTCAGCCACAAGGAGCGCCTCAGCCTGGCGGCGGACAGGGCGGTGGTCCGCCGGCTGGCTATCCGGGCGGCTATCCAGGAGCAGGAGGCTACGGCGGTTATCCTGGTGCGCCGGGACAGCAGAAATCGCACAAAAACGACAAACACTGAGGACGCTCGGACGGATCGGGATCGGGAGCGGGGAGGAGATGTATGTGGGAGTGGAAGCGAACACCGAAGTGGAAGATGCTGCGGTCGGAGGACGATGCAGGTGCCTTGCATGGGGTGAGTTCTAAAGTTCCAAGACATCCCCAGTAGTTGTCAGTGGAGTGTGTTTATGGATCGATTTGAATTATATTGCCGCCTTGAATTTTGCTTTACGTATTTTTTGCTTTACCCATCTGCTTGAATAGATTGCTTCAATTTATAAATCAATTTCCCTTCTCTACTTTACAAACATTTTTTTACACAATATATATTCGGGTCAGCATTTTTCAACTAAGCGAATACAAATTTTTATTTTGGGTAAAGACATTGATAAACATCTGTAACAGTTGTTATTGAATTTCCTATCCATTATCTACCATTAGATTGCTTTCAGATGATTATCATTTACGTCCAAATCTAAATTCGTTGGCATATTTGGAAAATGATCTGATCCATTGTTTATAATGACATAATGACCTGTGATATCCTAACCAAATCTTGTTTACCATGCGTAAAACTCTTTGCAGTGATCTATTGTTCTACTATGTCCTATGTCTTTTATCCCCCACAATACTAGCAAATCAGAACAGAAATGCAAGGGCAAATGATTTTTAATTGCAATAACAGCAGCATCAACAACAACAGCAGCGGACAGACAACACACGGCAGAATGGAGGCGAAGATCAGACGAGGACCCAGATCACTCAGCCAATCAATCAATCGGGGAGTGAAACATTGAACGTTTAGCTTGTGGCGTCACTCTTTTGCATAAATGTAAATTAATATGATTAACACTGTCTATTATTTGGATATTGCCTATAATTTCTCCACTAGTTTGTAAGCGATTTCCCCGAGAAACTAAGTCTACTTTTACATACTATCTATGCATAAACCCGACCGAATGAAAGATAATGCTCTTGCTGTTTATGATCACCACTTGCACAGACATTTCAACACAAGGGGAAGCTAATTGAATCCGTTTTGGGTGTTTTGTTTCCTTTTTTTGTACACACATCTGCATCTATATCTATCGCATATTTAATTTTGTTCACAGTCAATTCAGGCAAATCAAGTGAGCGCAGACCTGAACAATCAGCTATGGGTGTTTTACTTTTGAAAGACACCAGTCTTGAAAATTCTCAATTGCAATAACTGAAACACTATAATGTTAGTAGCATACGCATATATTTACAGCATTAAATATAACGAACGTTTTTAATACATGAACCCATTTTCACGTACTTAGCTTAGCTTAGATGTAATTAAAAACAATTGAACAAGATATGATCGACATTTACACATGATCAACTATGTCTGCTGATCTGGTAAGATTTCCAAAACTTAATCAACACGTTTATAAAATCTGAGTCGAGTCAGGGACTTGTTTAAAGGTGTTCTTTATCAATTGATCTGACATTTTGCATAACAATATTTTCACCTTTCAGTTCTGGAGACAAATCATTAGCAGTAAGCCGGCAATGAATTGATTTTTAAATTATTCCCTGTTCTATATTTGTACACTTTCAATTTTAAACCTGGTAAAACCATATTTTCAATATTTACCTTTGGACGAACTTTTTATGAGCAGGATTACATGCCTATTTAATATCTATATCACCAAATGCAATCGTAAAGTATGTACTTTCAGAGGCCGCCCTTCAGTCCAGTTCATAACAGAATTACGAAATCAAACCCCAAAACTTTTTCACAAAACAAACATGAAGAAATACAAACCATTTATTGTAAAAGTGTCAAACTTGGTAAGATCGTGTGTTGTTATTACTATATATGAAATTAAACATATTGCAAATCAAACAATGAAAACTTACCCAAATGAATGTAGGTCTACCATAATTTATAATCTTAACTTTGACATATAATCTAAACTAAGTTTTACGTCTCCCCAAATATCTGATTGTTGCAACAGCAGATGAACCATATTGTAACCGTTGTCCGGCAAGGCAGGCTCAGATCGGGACACGATCCAGATCCTGATCCGCCCTGCAGTCGGCAAAGCATTGAATAAACATTTAATATACCGTATAATATATCCATATACATATTGCCAGCACAAAGCACTTCGGTGCTTATTGCCCTATTGCGTTTCTATTGATTATATTTATACCCGTTACTTGTATTGGCAGAAAGGTAAAGTATAAGAATTGTTTCTAAAGTTTCAGTTTCTAAAGCTCGTCTGTTTCTATACTTCAACATTTGGAACTTTAAGGGGGTATTCCTTTTCAGAATCATACAAAATAGCCAAATATTCAGTAGGATAGAAATCTAGAAAGAAAAAACTCTAAAATTAAAATCATTTTCAAAAGTTTGAATACTATTATACGTGAACGAACATCCTTTAAAGTAGTAGCGGGTATCTCACAGTCGGGACTTCGACTGTATCGATCTTACTTGATATATTTTGTCAGCTGACTGTTTATTGCCACATTTGAAAATCGTTTATTGAGCGTATTTTCAGAGGTTCTGGGCCTTGGTCGTGGAAGAGATCTTGGGGATCGGGACGGGCGTTTAACTTTTCCCAGTGATCGGTCGAATGATTGCCACATTAGGTATGCTTTGAACCATATTGGAGTAACATTTTTATATCAAACTGCACATATATTATACCCATAATTGACTATTCTGAATATTCTATATACTATATACTATTCTGTGAAAATGACAATATATATTTATATGTATTTCTAAATATTTTCCTAGCAACAGCAACGATATTTAATTTCCCGAACAGTGCTCCCTATTGATCAATTCAGTGCTGTATATTTGTAAAATATCGTTTCAAGGTATCATTTGCTTGCTATATAAGCGGTTTACATTGGCTCCCAAGCCTATCCTATATTTATAGTGTTCGATTTCGTGTACTATATATTGACTATATATTATAACTCATATAATAAGAGTGTCTCAGGTCTAGTATTAGGAAATTATCCGAGCAATATTTCAATGTTATTACTATGGCAGTTTGAAGAAGTATAGTCCAATTTTACATGGTTGTGGGAAGTCGATTTCCTTTTTTTTCATTCTAGCAAAGGTACCCGAGAAAATCCGTGTTCTATCAACAAAGGTAAGTATGTCCTAACCATAAATTATTATTAGTAGTACATTCAATAACCCATTCCGTTGAGCATTTCTTTTGGGTCCAATGTCAAGCCGTTTATTTTGCAATCAAATGATATTTTTGAAATTCACATTTCTGCATACATTTCCATTTATTTGATTTAAATTACGTGCTTTGATCTATTTTCAGGACCAATTGAGAGAAAAGTTCATTACTACTCCTGTATTATCCATATTCTTATGATAAATGTATTTTTGTCCCGAAATTGTCGCAAATGTTTTTTCTTCAATTTTTTTTTATTTACATATATTATATCCATGATGCTTTATTTATTTGTAACAATATATTATATCTGAATCATAACTGACTATCTGTATGTTTCAGCCTTTTATCTGCGTGATAGCTACCAATTTTCCCCGGTCAAAACCTTGACAAATTAGTTTAATCTTCTACTTATAGTAGATTTAAAATCATTTAAATTCAATTAAGTGTATTATAAGTAATACTCTTTAAATGTCACAATTGAACAATTAAATTTTACAAATAAATTTTCCTATCTATCAACACAAAATAATACCTTTATTTGTCGTATTTAAAATGCAGCGTTTCCTCTGTACTAGGAGTGTGTTTTGACGTCCTGATTACCCTAGTATACAAAATTTAATCCATGAAATGTTGTTTCCAAGCCGTGAATGTTAGTTTCGATTAGCGTTGGACATCCAGGATCTAAAAATTCTAGTTTCAGGTTATAGCACAGTACATTTTTTTAGATTTAAGAAATATATTCAGTTTTCATATTTAGGTTTTAGAATTGTTTCACTTCCCGTTCTCAACATTTGGATAACATCAATTGATATTAACCGGAAGCAAATAGGAGTTCAAAGTCATACACTTACGCGTTACTGTAATGTAATTACCTCTTTTTCCGGCAGAAGGGCTTCGCCTCCACGTCCACAATTTTTACCAAACCTCCATCACCAATATTCCAACCCAGTCCAGAATAATAGATTTCTCTTAATTTTTAGCACTTTATTACTGATACACTGCATTCTTTTTTACCCCTTTCGCACTTTGCAACGAATATTTAAAGTTGAACAGAACAGAATAAACTAGAATACACAGTTTAGTTGCCAATGTCTGAGGCTTTACTGATATACTTCATTTAGTGGGTGTAGTTAAGCTGTTTTGTTTTTGATATTTATTTAAGAGTTTACTACAAGAAAACTTACATTGAGATGCGGCTGTGAAAATATTCAACCGGATTTTGTTCTTCTTTTATTTTTCTCTAGCTGGCAATTAAACTTTCGTTTGATATCCAACTTTTTTCTATTCCTTTTTCTCATTTAAAATTAACATACATCTAGTTTTACCTTGTAAATATCTAATATTTATAATATTTAACTTTATTCTTTTTCAATCTTGTGTTTGTTTATTTTACTCACATTTTTGTTGTGAGCTTGTCTCTAGTTAATTAGCCGCGAAACCTTCCTATCCTCAATCACACGGGGCCCGAGCACTTGAGTAAGTTGAAGAGGGTAAGGGATGTGGGATATCGAAATGGGATTACAATTATTTTGGGGAATATCTGCTAATCATTTCAATCACGTCAATCACTAGCTCCGCTTTAGTGTGCCTTAAAATTACTCGCCCAAAAGATGCATTTTTACATTGCCAAAAACGTTTTGCAATCGTGTAAATTTAAAAAGTTTCTTCCATTTTCGTGTGTTTTTGTACTGCTGCCAGTGTGTGAATTTTAGATAATTCCAAGCCTTTATCAACTTTTAATTTCGCTTTTTGTTTATTATTTCTTGTGTCTTAATTTTAAATACATAATTTCTTGTTGAACGTCAAATCAAAATGCACTACAGTTTAGTTTCTTTTTAATCGGATTTTTACAAGTTTCTCTTTTCTTAATTTACACACTTTTTGCAGAGCTGTCGAGAGCACATACCTTCAAGAAAATAGAAAATGATGTGTGTGTACGGTTGGACAAACAAAAAGTTATATATACAAATGAATATATATAAGAATGGATATTCTACTGCCGCTGACGTTAGGATTAAGGTAAACTGTAGATAGCTTTTAGGATAGGAGTACAAATCATTAACTTATAGGACAACTACTAAGAGTTACATTTTGCCCAACGTTGTTCTGTCTTGGCAAACAACATGCTGACTTTGCCGTCGCGGTTTGTTTTTTTTTGTATGTCTACAGAACCTGGACCCTCCCCGTCTCAAAGTGCCTTCATCTCTACTTGGTTTTATGTCGCAATTAACTGGAAAGACAGAAATTAATAGAAATTAAGTAGGGACAAGTAGCATGGGTGTGTCTGTAGCTTACCGCTTTGACTGTGGCCTTAATGAAGTCTTTCTTGTCAGTTAGATCAAAGTCTGGATATTTCGCATACACCTGCTTGCACACTGTTTTCATGGTAATCTCCTCCAGATTGGCTTTATCCAAGATCTCTTTGACATAGCCGCGTATTTGTTCATCCTGTAATTGCAAGTTTGATTAGGCCCTTACATTTTAGATTTTAACTATTGGCTACCGACCGTTGGGAATGCCAGTTTGCCCTTTTTGGTTAGTGGCTCGTCCTCGTCAGATTCATCTTTGTCATCGACATCATCCTCTTCCTCAGAGGACTCTTTCTTTGATTTTTTCGATCGACCGTCGGCTAGGGATTGAAATAATGATTAAATTGCTCGATTTAGTTAGTTTTTATTTATTTACCCTTTCCAGCTGGTTTTGACTTGTTGTTAGCTTTGCTATTTTTCGCAGGCGTAGTGGGCTTCTTACTCTTTTTGGGACGTTCCTCCTTTAAGGCAGGAAAAATAGGTTATAAGACACAAATGGTTGACTCTAATTATAGTCATACCTCGCTTTGATCGCTGCCAAACTCTGAGACCTCCTCCTCCTCTTCATCATCGGATATATCGTCTTCTTCACTATCTGAATCCTTGCGCTTTCGTGAAGCTGCTCCCCGCCCTCTACCCCTTCGTCCTGCTGACGCAGGAGCTGCCGGTCGTCCACGTTTTCCTGCGGAACCACGTTTGCGTTTTGGGACCTGTGGGTTAAGATATGTTTAAACACGAATTTGCTATTATAACTTCATAGAAAAACCTACATCACTATCGGCTTCGGATACTTCGGATTCCTCCTCCTCCTCGGAATCAGAGTTTCTTCGACGACTTTTGCGCGCCGGACGACCACGACTGCCGCGACTTGGGACTTTGCGACCTGCTGCACCAGCACCTCCGCCACCACGACCGCCATCAGAGTCAGAATTGCCGGAGGGATTGTACTGTAAACAGGAGAAAATATATGCAAATCTATTTTTGGTTTCTTGATGAAGAATACTCACATCTGAGCCCGACTCCGAGTCATCATTTCGCCTCCTCTTCGGCACTGCGACTTTCTGCTCGCTTTCCCCAGAGCTGGAGAAATCCACATAAGCGGACATTTCTGCAAGTCGGACATTAAAAATGGTTATATTAAAAAGCACTTTTTAAAAATCTATATATGAACATACTTTTTCCCGCCGTGGAACGCCTGGGACGACCGGTGGAATTGCGAGCCGAGCCTCTGCCTGCGCCGCCGCCCGACTTTCCGGTCTTGCGTTTCTTGTCCTCCTCGCTGGGCGGATCTTCCTCATCCTCGTCCACATCCTCGTCCTCGGGATCTTCTTCCTCCTCGTCGCCCTGCTCCAAGCAGAGCGATTCGTCGGGTTCCATCAGGAATTTGAGCACTCGCAGCACCGTCTCATTCTTGCTGCCCTTGCGATCGAGCGTAAGGATCTCGCAGATGCTGCGCAGACCCTTGTTATCCACCTTTTTGATGGCCTCCAGCTTTTTGTTGTACTCTGCCGAGTCCTTGGCGAACTCAAAGCCGGCAAAGGAACGCAAGTTCTTCTTCACCACATTGTTCTTGCCCTGGGCCCCAAAACAGAGCTGTAAGAGTGGATTGAGATGAATGAAAAATGTTTGGGATAAAGAGGTTTCTGTGTAAGCTTACTGCATGCAAGGTTTGCAGGCCATCCACGCGAGTCTTGTTGATATTCTCGTTGATGCGATCGATCTCGGCCAGGGCCACCACGTTCTCATCATCCTCGGCCACCTCGTTGTTCTTGTCCAAGCCATCGTTCTCGTCTCCGTCAGCGTCTTCGGCATCCTCATCTTCCTCCTCCTCCTCGTCGTCCTCGTCCTCGTCCTTAGCCACCTTACCATTCTTGGCCTTCGGCTCAGGCTTCTTGCTCTTTTCCGATCCGGACTTTGGCTTGGCCTCATCGGTGGCCTCCTTCTTCTTGTCCTCTGCTTCTGGTTTTGATTTCTTTTTCTCACTCTCTGCATCACTGGCCTTCTCATCGTCTTCCTCCGGTTCTTCGCCATCTTCCGTGTTCTCCTCTTCCTTTTCGGAATCTTCGTCCTTCTTGGCGTCCTTACTATTGGATTTCTTTACTGCCGGCGAGGGGGATTTCTCCTTTTTGTCGTCCGCAGCTTAAAATAGGAAGCATTTTTTCAATAATAATAAAAAACATTAGCTTGTAAATACAAAAAAAAATTTTAGAAAAAAAAATATCTTCATGCTTGGGAAGTCCAATGCTAATTGTTTGGAGCGCAAGGAACTATGAAAATTGAAGTTTTGCTGTACCTCGGCATTTACTACGCAGAACCCATTTAAAGGATTTAGCATGAACAATAGCCAAGGAAAGAAATAGAAATAGAAGAGTCCTACTAAAAGCCCGAAAGAAGAATTCGTTTTGTAAACATTATCGCCCGGAGAGGATTCGAACCACATGCCAACATAGCATAATAAACAAGACCCTGAGAACGACGCTTTAGACCGCAGCGCCACTGCAGAGCTCTCCCAACAAGTAGCCGAAATCCAACAAGAAAGGGGGTGAGAGAAGGAGAGAGCAGAGAGCTTTTCCGAAAAGAGAGCGAGACGAAAAGTTCGGCGGGTTTTTGAAACGCGCGCAAAATAATTTCATGATTTTTGTTTTTCTCTCTCGTTCTTCACACACACACTACTAGACTGGTTGCGGCTGTGTGCGCGTGGCTTTGGTTTTTTTCTTTATTTACCTGCATCCGATTCGGGATTTGAAACGGCCGTTGCGTCTCCTTTGGTTTTTTTATCAGCGACGTCATCAGTGGCGGCGGCAGTGGCGTCGACCTCGGCAGCGGCAGGGGGTTCGGCTGCATCTTTGGGCCCCTTCTCCGACACCCCCTCGACTTTCGCCGCCTCCCCCGCTGCGACCGTTGCGTTTTCCACCTCGCTTACCTTATCGGCGGCATTTTCTTTGGCTGCCGCTTCTGTCGCTTTGCTAGCATCCTTTTGGGGCGGCGACGGCATGAAAAGATACAAAGTCACAGTTGGATTACACTTGCTAATTTTTTGGCGGCCTCTACCATGGATTTCGGTGCGCTTTTTTAATCGCAATATGAGTGTGAGTTTCTTCAGCGATTCGAACGCGAGTTTGTGTATGCGTGTCTTCTCCGCCGAGCGAGCGAGCGAGAGAGGGCGAGAGCGAAACGAGAGAGGCGATAGAAAAAACAACATTGCAAATCTATGAGGCGCAGGCACACGCACTAGTCGTCCCGCTCGCACCCACTCGTTTCGGCATCTCGAGCCACAACGACGCCATGTTTATACACACAACCGAACGGCGGGAGAGAACCGATAGTCGGGCACTTTGCCTCGCGGACAATTTGTTGCGCTCTATTTACACACAAAACACGTTGGCCATCCAGCCGTTTTCCATTCGCCCCGCCGGCACACGCTTTCCGGCGCCTTTTCCCACATTTTCCACCTATTTACATACCATATTTCTAATGGTTTTTCTGTTTTTCCGTCAGCCGACACACATTCAATCTGGCCACAGTGTGTGACCGCGCAATTATACCGTGGCGACTCTAGGAAATATACCAATTGGTCTCTCTGAAAAATACCAAAAATACGGTATTCTAAGGCTAAGTAGCCGTGTTAGCCACCCTCAAACAATCTGGCAGCACTGGTTTCAATAAAGCCGGTCACACTAATTGCCAAAAAAAGCGCGCGGCGTGTTTAGCAAACAAAATTTGGCAATCGCTGGCGTTTGCCTTCCAATAATATTGTTTAATTAATTACAAGTAATCAGGAAACATCCAACCGCCATGGGAATTCTGGGCTTATCCAAGCTCATTGCCGACCTGGCGCCCCAGGCGATTCGCGAAAGCGAGATGAAAAACTTTTTCGGTGCGTCACTGCTCTAAAGTTAAACATAGAATGTAATTCTAATGTATTCCTGAATTTAACAGGTCGCAAGGTGGCCATCGATGCCAGCATGTGCCTGTACCAGTTCCTCATTGCGGTGCGCTCCGAGGGCGCCCAGTTGGCCACCGTGAACGGGGATCCCACGTCCCATCTGATGGGCATGTTCTACCGCACCATCCGATTGCTGGACAACGGAATCAAGCCCGTCTACGTTTTCGACGGCAAGCCGCCGGATCTGAAGTCCGGTGAGCTGGCCAAGCGTGCCGAGCGGCGGGAGGAGGCGGAGAAGGCCCTGAAAGCGGCCACCGATGCCGGAGATGATGCCGGGATCGAGAAGTTCAATCGTAGATTGGTCCGCGTGACCAAGGAGCACGCCAAGGAGGCCAAGGAGCTGCTCTCGCTGATGGGTGTGCCCTATGTGGACGCTCCCTGCGAGGCGGAGGCCCAGTGCGCGGCTCTGGTCAAGGCGGGAAAGGTCTACGCGACCGCAACGGAGGATATGGATGCCCTCACCTTCGGGTCCACGAAACTTCTGCGCTATCTCACCTACAGCGAGGCCCGCAAGATGCCCGTCAAGGAGTTCAGCTACGAGAAGCTCCTAGAAGGTCTCTCGATCAACAGCCGGGAGTTCATTGATCTCTGCATCCTGCTGGGCTGCGACTACTGCGAGAGCATCAAGGGCATCGGACCCAAGCGGGCCATCGAGCTGATCAACAACTACCGGGACATTGAGACGATTCTGGACAACCTGGACACCAGCAAGTACACGGTGCCCGAGAACTGGAACTACAAGGTGGCGAGGGAGCTGTTCATCGAACCGGAGGTGGCCAATGCCGAGGAAATCGATCTCAAGTGGGTGGAGCCGGATGAGGAGGGCCTGGTGAAGTTCCTCTGCGGCGACCGGCAGTTCAGCGAGGAGCGCGTTCGCAACGGCGCCAAGAAGCTGATGAAATCCAAGCAGGCCCAGACGCAGGTGCGACTCGATAGCTTCTTCAAGACCCTGCCCAGCACACCGAACGCCACGAATGCCGCCAAACGGAAGGCCGAGGAGGCCAAGAAGAGCGCCAACAACAAGAAGGCCAAGACCAGCGGAGGCGGCGGCGGGGGCGTGGCAGGCGACCCAAGTAGAAGATCCAGTGGAAGATCTGAAAAATCGTACAATTCTTTAATCTTAATCTTAAACGTATTTAAAGCCTATGCATATAATAAAATCTACATCTTTGAGCTTAAGGCTAGTTGGTCTGCTTGTGGGTGAGGTTTGGATTTTGGATATTGGATTTTGAATTAGAGTTGGGTCTGTGTGGTTGGGCTGCGACTACAGCAAATACTGTTTGGCCAGGGCGCGCAGGAAGCGGGATTTGCGCACCATGGCGCATTCTCGCTTGATCTCCTCGTTGTTATTCGCATTCAGCTCCAGAGTGCCCATCATAGAGATCTGTTTTGGCGGGAGATAAGAAAGGGTTAGGATTTTTCTAAAAAATTAATAGTACAAATTAGAGCCCTGGGTGAATCATTCAATTTTTGTTTTATCATAGTATGCCATGAAATTTCTGATTTGTTTTGTGTGAAATAAATTGAATGTTTTTCTAATTCATTTCAAATTGAATGAATGAATGAATAATTATTATAAATTTACTAGATTTTTTTGTGCTTCCTTTTGAGAACAAAAAATGGAAAATATTAAACCAATCAATGTTAACTGCTTAGAAAATAAAATTCATGCAGATTCTTCATAAGAAATTGTCTTTTGAAATATTTCGGAATTCAAGCAATTCATTCATTCAATTCTATCAAACTCAAAATTGAAATTCACTCAATTCTATTAAACTCAAAATTTAAAATAATTCCTTGAATCCATTTATGCAGGGCTCTAGTAAAAATATCCCCTACCGCTTCAAGTTTCCGGCTGTGTTCGCCTCTTTTCGCATGCAGATTGACAATGAACTCGAGCAGCGTGGTATCCCAAATACAGCTGTAGTACGCATCCATGGCGTCTGTGAAATTCGACGATTTCTCGCTGAGATTCTTGAACACAATGCCGTAGTCGATCTCCTCGAGGAACTGACACAGAACGGTGGCCTGCATGTGGCAGCCGAGATTGGCGGCGCATCGAATCATCTTGCGGATGACATAGTCGTCGGCCACATTCCTCTGCAGCGGCATGGTGCAGTAATCGGTGCCGGTGACCAGAGCATTAACATAGCAACGCATGGCGGACTCATTGTTGCCGATCGCCAGGTCCAGATCTCCCTTCATTTTCAGCCAGGAAATGGTCTGCGGATAGTAGGATAGAGCCTCGGACAGCAGCCACTGGAGGGTCTCACAGACACTCCGCAAACTGTAGCTGATGGGGCTGAAAAATGGATTGAAATGGTGATTCAAGAACCACTTACTAACAATCCATACTCACTTGTTTATGCTGGTGGGCCACAGCTGCATGTACTCGCAGCTCAAGTCATGGTTGGGGTCGTCCTTCAGGATGTTGTGGATCTTTCCAATCATGGAAATGGCCAGCCCAAAGACGCTCTGGTGGCGCACTCGCTGCAGGAAGGCCTGCAGGGAGCTAATACCGCCCACTCCTGAGGAGCCGCGCTTCGGTACGTTCAAGAACATGCTCAGCATCAGTTCCCAGGCATCGCGACACACCTTCTTGGGTCCCTTCATCTTCTCCATCTCGATGAAGGTGGCGGCAAAGGCGAGGGGCAGTTCCAGGGGACCCGCCCGCTTGTCCAGGTAAAGGAGTGGTGGGAATTCCGTCAGGTTAAGCAGCATAATGGCGCAACTCTCTAGGATATCCGGCCGCGGGATCATCGAATCACCCGCCTGCAGGGCTCCCAAGCATTGCTTGCATCTTCCGCCCAGCGACTGCAGATCCAGTGGCTTCTGGTGCCACTCCTCCAGGCATTGTGTTATCTGGATGTGCAGGATTTCCCAGGTGAGCAGCTTGCACATCAGCTGCACATTGGCCGCCATCTCCTGGCGCTGCGTTTCCGACTTTAGGACACTCAGCATGGAGACGGCATCGATGTAGTTGCCTCTTGTGGCCAACTCCCGCGCCTTTCCCAGCAGAACATAGCTGAAGTCTTGCAGAAAGCTCACGGGCATGGCCATAATAAGAGTTTTCAGAGGCTGCGGCACATCCCAACTGGGATTGATGGCCCACAAAGGTTTTCCTGGCGCCGTGCCACAGAGTTTGACCAGCAGAATACGCACTGTATTGGCATTTGTGCAGCTGATCAGTTGTCGTTCGAGGGCGGCCACATCCACTCGATTCACTAGAAAGCGGGAATCAGAAGATTAGATGTATAAGTGAATATAGATTAGACTTCCTTACTCTTTGAGTGGCACATCCAGTCGGAAAGCGAGGCCAGCGAGTTCGTGGGCACCGACGGCGCCGCCTGCAGCATCTGTTCGTCCAAATCCTGCAGTTCATCGGCCGAGAAGAGTCCAAATCCCCGCACAGTTTGCAGTAATTGCCGCGACTGCCCGCCCTGATGCAGCAAACAGTCGATGAGGAAGTGCTTGAGGGCCGCCTGTTCCCTGAGACTGCAGTGCGGCAGCACTTCCTGCAGAGCCTCCACCAGCGGCGGCAGGCAGTCCAGTTCCCTGTACTTTTCAAAGTACTCCACGCTGCCGAAGATGCTGCCCCACTCGAAGATATTTCGCACCACATTCAAGGCGGCCACCTGCAATTGCAGCTGAACTGTTTCCTTTAGAATGCCCGTCGAGAGGGAGCCCTCGATGTCCAGTTCCAGTTGCCGGCGGCTCATCAAGGGGATCTCCCGCGCTCGGTTGTCCAACCGCAGGATGGGCACAATGTCTGCGTAGTTGTTGAGCAGCGATTGCTGGAACTTTTCCAAGAGCGTCTGCTCCTGGGCGCTGATGCCACACGCTTGCAGTAGGCCCTCCAGCTCCGCCGGTCGTATGTGGCAGAAATAGAGCGTCGTCTGTGGCGGGACGGCCTGCAGATTGCTATTGCAGGCGGCGGCCGCTTCGCGGGCCAGAACATACTGCTTGGTGTACAGGTAATATTGGGCCAGTTCATACTGCAGCTGCGCCCTCAGCTCCTGGGGCGTAATCAGGTGCATGAGGTCGTAGTTCTGGCCAGTGCCCAGATCATCGCACTGCAGCGTGACAAAGCTGTCGTAGTGGAACACGTAGAAGGGCTTGGCCGAGCCGCAGAGCTGCTGTAAATACTCGATGGAGGGTTGCGTGGGTGTGTCCAGAAACTGCTGCAGTTGGTCCACAGTTTGGTACCTGAAAGGGGCAATCTCTAGAGCGGGCTGGTCAGGATAAGTGTGTCCACATCTTACATGGTATTTGGAGGACGTGGCGTTTTCAGGGCCTGTTCCTTGATCAGTTGCAGGCGCAGCAGCAGGCGGTGGTAAATGGTCAGGGCGAATCTCGCTGCCCTCTCGTTGCCAGCAGTGGCTGAAAGGATTAACAGAGGTTAAAAAAAGAAAAAGCGTGGCCCAGATATCAACTCACAAATCTTCAGATCAAAGTCACTGGGCAGGGGAATACTCAAAGGACAGCCGTAGCTGATGGTGCACAGGTCGCGCAGCAGGGCCAGCTGCATAATCACAGGCAGGTGCTTCTCCAGCGCATCCAGGTCCCACTTCAGCCAGGTGGCCACCTTGAGCTCCAGGATCTTGAGTGCCAGCTGCTTGCGGGTCAATTGCAGGCCACTCTCCGCGGGTCTCTGTGGACTATGCGGCATGCCCACTCCGCCGGAGGCATTGGGCGCTGTGGGCGGGGTGGTGGCGCCACCACCAACCACGCCGGGAATGGGACCCGCAGGGGGAGGAGGCTGATTTAGGGTCTGCAGGTCGCTGCCGGGCGTAACCACCGATGCCAACGCCGTGTCCGGCGTCATGCTGATGAACTGCATGATCAGCTCCATGGCGCTGGGCTCTGCAAGTGCAGGGGGAAGCATTACGATCTTGGCCTGATTCCACAAGTGATTCGCACTTACCGGGATGCGGCCGCTGCAGGTGCTGCGTTATCTTGTGCGGATCGAGCAGGAACTCGAACCACAGCACCGTTTCGGCGGCCAGCGGCACTGGCTTCGGCTTGAGCGGATCGTCCATGCTAGTCCCGGCCAAAATTCATCTAAATCCAGAAAATCCTATTTTATTTGGCTCTCAACTAGAGGTGGCGAAACATCGATGTTTTTGTACGTTTTGGAAACATCGGTGTTTGGTTTTTGTCTTCGCTGAGATAGAGATGTGCGCCAATATATCAATTGACAAATGGTTCGAGGCCATTTCTGCATGCATCGATAGTGTCTATCGATTGCTTCGACAGGACTTTTTTATTAGTAAGACCATGCTTCATAGGAACTCTGAAAACATCGGGCACACTACAAAAGAATAATAGGGGGATTCCCTAAACTGTTGAATTGCTGAATTGTTGAAAATTCAACAAAAAATTTCAGCAATTAAGGGAACGACCCAAAATAGTTCCTGTTGAATTTTCAAACAGCTGTTATTTGTTGAAAAGTTTCACGGAACTTAAAGCATGTAAAATTTGATTTATTATTGCTATTTACTGTCTAAAAGTGTTACCAAGGTAAGTTGATGTTAAAAAAAGTAATGCGTACTGGTGATACTAAAATGTTACAGAGTTGCCACGACTTTTAAAAAAAGGTGACAACTCTGGCTTTTCAGCAATTCAACAAAATTTTCAACAGTCCCGAGGCTGTTGAATTGCTGAAATTTCTGAAAGTTGACTTTGTATGGAACAGCTGATTAACAGCTGACCAAAATTCAACAATTCAGCAATTCAACAGTTTAGGGAATCCCCCTGCTGGCACATGAATGTTGTATTAATAAATGAGCTGAACCATGTCGTGGAATACCCGCATTGAAAATTATAAAAATTTTGGATATTTGTAGCTTCCCAATTTTAGTTATTATCAGTATTAAATTATCGTTTTGTGAATATTTCTTCCTAACTCAGCTGATCGTTTTAAAGCTCCATCAATTGTTCATTCATATACAATACAAGTCCCTACTGTTTATTTAAAAATGCAATTTCGATTTACGATTTAGGGACAACTTTTATTAAATACGTAGCCGAGCATCGCCACCAATGTATTTTTGGCGCGCGGCAGCCGATCCTGGTTCTCGGGCTGGCGTAGAAAGAGGCAGCTCCTCGTGGTCCTCCACTCCTGGGCCCAGGATACGCCCAACAGCTCCAAGGCGTTCAGAACAAACTTTTCCTCCAGGATCTCGCCCATCAGAACGATGATTAAAAATGTTCAAAAATGTGCCAATGGTATAATAGATTTTGTATTGCTTTTTGAATCCTGCTCTGATCAACCCTGGAATAATAAAAGGTTATTAAATGTACGGTTCTCAATCAGCGAACGTTAACATTTTTTCAGAATACGGTAATGCTTTCTGCGAATTCCAAAATGTTTTAAAACAAACAATTTTTTTTTTTAATTTACTTTCCGTTAAAAAGAAGATTGTGAAGAAAAATTATAATAAGGAATGTTTCCAACAAAAAACCACAGAAAAAGCTATAGTCGGGTGCACCGACTATCAGATACCCGTTACTCAGCTAAAGGGAGTGCGAGAGAGATGGAGATTTAAAACTTTGAATGGGCAGAACTTATTAACAAATGGTCCGATTTGAACAATTGTTTTCTACATTTCGATAGGTATTAGTAAACACAAAAAACTGAATTTTTACTTTTCCGGTGTGGGCGCCAGAACCTTTTAAAATCGTTTAAGGCGATGCTGGGCGTTAGAGGGGGCGTGGACCTCGGCTGAAACAAACTTGCGCTGCGTAGGAAGCCCAAGAATATATTTGGGTAATCCCAACTTTCTAGCTTTTGTAGTTTCTGAGATCTCAGCGTTCAAACTAGAGCCCTGCATGAATGGATTCAATGATCTATTTTGAATGTTTTGAATTTGAATTTGAATTTTGAGTTTAATAGAATTGAATGAATGAATGGCATGAATTCCAAAATAATTCAAACGACCTTTTTTTTTTTAAAGAAGAAAGGGCCATAATTTTGTGATTAAATCTGCATGAATTCTATTTACCACTTTTTTTTCTAAAAAGAAAACAAACAAATTTGGAAAATTCAAAAAATTAAACAAATTATTCATTCATTCATTCAATTCGAAATGAATTAGAACAAGAGAGAACGTTATAGTCGGGTGCCCCGACTATCAGATACCCGTTACTCAGGTAAAGGGAGTGCGAGGGAGATGGAGATATAGATTGAAAACTTTGATCACGCATAACTTTTTAACGAATGGTCTGATTTGAAAAATTTCTTCTACATTTCGATAGGTATTGATAAACACAATAAAACTGCATTTTTAGTTTTCCAAAATATTAAAGTTTTTAAAATCGTATATAAGCGATTGTGGGCGTTAGAGGGGGCGTGGCACCATTTTGAAACAAACTTGCGCTGCGTAGGAACTCCTAAAATCTGCATGCAAAATGCCAATCTTCTAGCTTTTATAGTTTCCGAGATCTCAGCGTTCATACAGACAGACAGACGGACAGACGGACAGACAGACGGACAGACGGACATGGCTAGATCGACTCGGCTAGTGATCCTGATCAAGAATATATATACTTTATGGGGTCGGAAACGCTTCCTTCTCCCTGTTACATACTTTTGCACGAATACAATATACCCTTTTACTCTACGAGTAACGGGTATAAAAATATTCAATTTATTTCACATAGAATTGAATTAAACAAATCAGAAATTTCATGGCATAATATGATAAAACAAAAATTGAATGTATCACGCAGGTCTCTAGTTCATACAGACGGACAGACGGACAGACAGACAGACATGGCTATATCGACTCGGCTAGTGCCCCTAATCAAGAATATATATACTTTATAGGGTCGGAAAACCTTCCTTCTAATTGTTTCATACTTTTGCACGAATACAATATACCCTTTTACTCTACGAGTAACGCGTATAAAAAGTTCTTGGAAAAGTGTTGGTTTAGTGGCCGCAATACGGGAGTTCAAAAAGAATATTAACTTAAAAAATTCTGTTTTTGGCGAATTCCTGTGTTTTGGCGAATAAATAAAAAATATATATATATATTTAGTTTAGTTTTTACAACTCTAAAAAAACTAAATTTAAAGAATTTTAAACAATTTAATTTTTTTAAATTTTAAATTATAAATTCCAGTTATCAGCAGAGTATGACATTTTTATTTTATTTTTCTTGATTGAAATTCCTTTATTTTATCCATCATCTAAATACTAATTAAAACCTTCTTTTATTTGTGCTTGTGAGTTGACACACTTCTCATTTTATCCTATGCCCCATTGGATGTCATAAAATTCTAATTTATATCGCCTTTACACATAAATAAATGGAAATAAAAAAAAACGATCAAAGGGGAGTACCTAATCATTTCATAATGCCTAAGACAGTTTCTGTTGTTGTTCATTAAAAATGTAAAATAGTTTGAAAGACTATTCGAGTAATTTATGCAAATATTTATGTTTGTTGAATATTGAGTCAGGTGCTCTAAAGTTGGGCTATCTCTCTTTTCTGCTGTATTTCGATGTCGACACTGGGAAAAATGTATTACAAAACGATCCATCATATATGGATGGTTTACAATATTTTTTTGGGATTTTTTTACAGTGTGCTTCTCCCAATTTTATTGTACCCCTTTTTTTAAGAGCCGTCTGGTGGTAAACTTTATGAGCATTTCTTGACTGCATAATCTGAAACTTAAAAAATATTTAACGTTCAATCAGGTGATTTTATGCAAATTACACGTTTCCATTTAATGTGTGTTTATGGCATTTTTCATCTTCTTATGAAGATTTGTTTTTGTCAGGCAGAGTGTTGGGCCCGTCAAATCTTCTATAAAAAATACCAACAGTATAGAATTTTAGAATAAAAATATATTTTATTTCTGGGGTCAAGACGTGCGATAATCTTTTTACTTTGTTGTCTCGCCATTTTTCCTATAATTATGCAATAAATAACGCAACAAAGAGACTTAATTTTCAAACGTTTCTTCTCATAAGAATCGGTACAAATCTTTTTTAGTTGTCTTCTTTTTGTGGAAAATGGGGGCAGAAAGGCGTTTAGGGGAAGGCCCATAAAAACGTCAAATGCGTAAAAGTATTATTCCGATTTTCGTGTTAATATCGTCATAAATTTTAATAATAAATTGACATCGAAAAAGAATAAACCTTTGGCTAAAATTAGCTTTCGCCTTGAAGTCTTAGGGAAATTTTCTCGATATAGCTATAGCTATTCATTCATGGTTTTTTGACGCACCTAAAATTCCTAAGGAAAGATCCGATTTACTTGGCACTTTCAATAGTTTCGAATCAGCTAAATTTCTTATCTCTTCCAGGTTCAAAGTTGCTCGTTGGAATGCGTCTGTTTTGACGATTCGACTTGGGACTATTTAATGGTAGACGTTAGCTAAGTCATTGCTAAATAACACTGATTAGGAGAATGATTTGGGAAGCGAGTCATCCGGGTTATCGTTCAGTTGAAAAATCACTTATAGATTTCGATCAGTTGCGTTTCCAACTTAATTTTGAGGGTTATTTTAGGCTGATATTGGAAAATAAGAATGGTTGATGGTGTGTTTAAGAAGTAATTCCTATGTCGATTGCCTAAAAAAATTCGACAAAAAGTTCTAATTTAGTTGCTAAGGGAAATGCCATAGGTTGGAGTCTTTCAAATATTTGCATAATATGCCATACTTTGCTCACAAATTAAGGTAAATTTCGGTTCGGCTAGTGGAACACCTCTGGTCGTAGAAAACCAGAAATCTCTTAAAGTTAGTGAGGCTCAAACAAACCGAAAAGAGGGAAACAAAGGCAGAAAACAGCTTTTCGAAGTCTATTGATTGGGTCGTAAATTTGTTTGGTTTTGGGGGTTTCTGGCGCGTCTTTTGTCGGGCTCATTTACATTTTATGCAGGTTGATGTTGAGCTCGTGCCATTCAGAAACATCGATACACACAGGCCCAAGTATTTATGGCTTTGGCCTAGCTATCATTCAATAATCTCCGCATAACTAAGCTGACCTAGTGAAATTTTCCTCTGCGTTCGGGAGGCATCTTCGAAGTTGTGTGAACACTTCGATATGAATATACCTTAATGAGATCTCTGCTAGACCCAATGGTCACACACAAAATATGTATTATGTGAAATACATTTATTTCAAATGGTCTCATGACTTGCGATTACGCATGGA